AAAAAAAGGTGATTGTTTTGATTTCCTTTTCTGATTTCTTTTTGTTTCCTTCAACAGTTCTTTCAATCTGCAATAAATCTTTTATTTTAATTACATTCGGATCGGCTGAGTTAAGATTCCGCTGTCCCGCTCAGGTATTTTTATTAATTTTCTCAAGAAACAATCGTCCTGTTTGGTTGATCAGAAAATAAAAGAATAAGAATATTGATTCATCTCCTGTTTTGACAGCAAAATTAAAATTCGCATGAATTTTATAGATTTATTTAATGCTCGATTATACTATTAGAAGCTGAATTTGAAGTTTGAAATCTCTTTCTCGTAAGTCCTTTTTCCCATATGTCATTACCTGTGAGTCACTCTCATATATATAATTAATATTATTTAATAGCATTTTCTTGTAATAAAAAATAGGATAGATCATCAAATTGCGGTGGTGGATTATAGTTGTCAGTCTGCAATATGTGGGGTTGGTTAATAGATGAGATAATTGTTTGAATCTGTTGCTCAAAATGTCATCAACTGGTGGCGCTTTGTTCCGCCTGAAATTGACAATTCAAAATGTCATGTAAAATACCCATCTGGATTTGAAATCAATTTATTAATGAACCCCCATGGCCCCATACGGGTGGGCCAGTTTATCAAAATCTACCATATATGTGATCCTCAAGTGTAGAAAAATTCCTCTGGGATTATGTTCATAATCATAATCATAATTTTATTATATATATGCATGCATGTAAATCTGTAGTTCACAGATTTTGAAAATATTTCTTTTGGGTATTGAATTGTGACCCTCATGAATGGGATTCATGGGAAAATGATATGTTTCTTCATTGAGGGCCAGCCAGAAATTCCAGATAGAATGTGGGGTGCAAATGATCCGAATATTTTTTCATTAAATTCTTTGTGTATTCAAGTTTTATCAACTTTACCTTGTCCTGTTTATAATAATGCCAAAATTCGATTCACATCAAGGGCCAGCTTGTTTGTTTGCTGGATGGGATAAATTTTGATCGTTAGACAAGTAGTTGGAGTTGAACTAGTCAATTAATTATTCCTTGAATTTATAGATGGTCGAGTTTCAGATTCGAACGAAGTAAACTGAAACTAGAAAATATCTCCGCAGTCTTTAGTACTATTTTATTTTCATTATATATTCAGATCTTTGGTCTCTTGTGTTTGGCATTCATGTCGAATGCATTTTCTCAACAGGTTTGCGAATCGGGATTATTGAAGTTAATTGATTCCAAGTCCTTGGAGAGTGATCTGGATCCTGCAGTAAATCATTAGCAGACAAGACAAGAGTAAAGACAAGCGCGGAAAATCCCACGTGGCATCACGCTACGAGCAGCCTAATTTTACACGAACCCATTATCGCGCTTTCTTGTTCACGAGATGAAGAGAAGATTGCGTTCCTATTCAGTGGTTTTCGCGTAATAATATTGGAAAATTAAGGGCACTGTTACAGAAGAGCGCCAAAATTTTCATCTTCCTGTCATGGACAAAAGGAGTAATTTAAAATTAATCCCTCAAACTAAAGCCGTGATCCTTGATCAGCATAATACTGAAGCAAAACCCCAACAAATTGGTTGGTTTGCCCGAGAGGTTAAGGGGGAAGACTTAAGATCTTCTGCACACAAGTGCGCATGGGTTCCAACTCCATAGTCAGCAATTGCCTATCAAGGAAAAGCAATAACCAGTATATCAAATTTGGCGATGCCAAATTTTGGGTGGTACATAAGATTATAGGGCTATTCTTTTTAAGAATCAAGTTTTCAACTCTAAATGATTCCAAGTCTAAATAAATACTGTATTAGGCGTTGGAAAAGGCCGAAGGGCGAAACTATTTCTCAAAAAAGCGACCAAAGTTGTTTCTGTCATTGTATTATTTTTCTTTAGTTTATTTCATTATGGTATTGAGAAATAGCACGGCCACATGATTATCTCGAATTGCACGAGAGAATAGAAAAATAATATAGTTATCGGAAAATGTGAACCAAATTCGTATGCCGAATAACGGACGCAATATTAATCGTCGATCAATTATGAATTAATATTAATCAATGGTCAGAATTATGTCACGTCATTCGATACATGAATTCGATATGTATTCTTCAATAACTGTAGCATTGCTTGTGAAAATATGACCAAACAATATGTGAAATCTCATTAGAGTTGAGCTCCATCTTTTCACGCGGTCTACAATTGTGTTTTTTTTTTTTTTTTTGTCCTTTCCTTAGTTAATGATGATCTTGCTCCCGTTTTTACTTCTAATACAATCACAAATTTTATGGCCATTGGGGAGTTTATTGATCATTAATTTTATTGTCCAAGATAATTAATTGAAATATACACAAACTAGTTTGAACACTTGATTACAACCACAAAAAAAAAAAAAATATATTGTAGACATTTATCTTTGTAATCGTCCTAGTTCAGCTTAAAAATCATTGATAAGGAACTAGATTGACCACATAATCAAACAATAATATTATACTAGCAAATATTTCTCATTAACTTTCTTTTACAAACGTAACATGTCAGTTCGTAATTGGTTAACTCGCAATGAGTCTCGCTTGACAAAATGAGAATTAAATAATTATGAACTATTACGTCAACGTTTATGAGATAAACTTGTGAAAAGTATTTATTAAACTATCTTTATTCCATAATAAAATTAGTTAAAATCCCAATAGATGCCACAATGAGCACAAGCCTCATCCTATTTATGAAATTTCCCAATAAATAGGTAAAATTTCATTGCTCTCATCAAAGCAAAACAAATTCACCAATTATGTATGTATTGATGATGGGAACCTCAAATTTTTTTTTTTTTTTTTTTTTTTTTAATGCCAAATTCAAATGGGGGAGTAGCTGTAACTTAACACCTAGTCAGTCGCCTGCTGTTCAACTAACCTTGAGTTAAAAAAAATATCAACTAACTTTTTAAATCAACCGTTGGATCAGTCTTAGATCAGTTAAGACTTAAGATCCCACTTAGTTTAAATCAACCGTTGGATTACTTGCAATTGAAGCACATCCGTTAATTTATTAATTAACTGACTGACTCTGGCCTGGCCGCAGGATATTCAATTGGCAGACAAGACAAGAGTAAAGACAAGCGCGGGAAAATCCCACGTGCATCACGCTAGAGCAGCCAATAATTTTCACGAAATCCATTATCGCGCTTTCTTGTTCACGAGATGAAGAGAAGATTGCGTTCCTATTCAGTGGTTTCGCGTAATAATATTGGAAATTAGGGCAACTGTTACAGAAGAAGCGCCAAATTTCATCTTCCTGTCATGGACAAAGGAGTAATTAAAAAAAGGTGATTGTTTTGATTTCCTTTTCTGATTTCTTTTTGTTTCCTTCAAAGTTCTTTCCATCTGCAATAAATCTTTTATTTTAATTACATTCGGATCGCGTGAGTTAAGATTCCGCTGTCCGCTCAGGTATTTTATTGACTTTATCAAGAAACAATCGTCCTGTTTGGTTGATCGAAAATAAAAGAAAAGAATATTGATTCATCTCCTGTTTTGACAGCAAAATTAAAATTCGCATGAATTTATTAGATTTATTTAATGCTCGATTATAAATTAGAAGCTGAATTTGAAGTTGAAATCTCTTTCTCGTCCTTTTTCCCATATGTCATTACCTGTGAGTCACTCTCATATATATAATTAATATTATTTAATAGCATTTTCTTGTAATAAAAATAGGATGATCATCAATTGCGGTGGTGGATATAGTTGTCAGTCTGCAATATGTGGTGGTTAATAGATGAGATAATTGTTTGAATTGTTGCTAAAATGTATCAACGGTGGCGCTTTGTTCCGCCTGAAATGACAATTCAAAATGTCATGTAAAATACCCATTGGATTTGAAATCAATTTATTAATGAACCCCATGGCCCCATACGGTGGGCCAGTTTATCAAATCTACCATATATGTGATCCTCAATGTAGAAAAATTCCTCTGGGATTATGTATCATAATAATTAATTTTTATAATATGCATGCATGTAAATCTGTAGTTCACAGATTTTGAAAATATTCTTTTGGGTATTGAATTGTGACCCTCATGAATGGGATTCATGGGAAAATGATATGTTTCTTCATTGAGGGCCAGCCAGAAATTCCAGATAGAAGTGCAAATGATCCGAATATTTTTTCATTAAATTTTGTGTATTCAAGTTTATCATTTACCTTGTCTGTTAATACATAATGCCAAAATTCGATTCACATCAAGGGCCAGCTTGTTTGTTTGCTGGATGGGATAAATTTTGATCGTTAGACAAGTAGTTGGAGTTGAACTAGTCAATTAATTATTCCTTGAATTTATAGATGGTCACGTTTCAGATTCGAACGAAGTAAACTGAAACTAGAAAATATCTCCGCAGTCTTTAGTACTATTTTATTTTCATTATATATTCAGATCTTTGGTCTCTTGTGTTTGGCATTCATGTCGAATGCATTTTCTCAACAGGTTTGCGAATCGGGATTATTGAAGTTAATTGATTCCAAGTCCTTGGAGAGTGATCTGGATCCTGAAAAAGTCGAGCAAATGGCGGGCAGTAAAAGAGGTGCAGTTTTTCTTTTAAACAATTACCCAGATTTCTGAAAAAGGATGGAGCCGAGTTGATTGAATAAACTTTTTAAAATCTATTAAACAAAAGAAGAACCCAGTAATAATTTTAAGATATGATTCATATAATATTCCATTGATAATATAATAATTCAGTATTGAAGTTGAATTTGTCTCACATCGTCTTAATAATAGACTGTTATAATATATATATGTGGTTGGGTTTCCTTCTCTTTTGAGCTAAGTTTTGAGAGTGAGTTCTACTCAAACTCACTTTTTGAGAGTCACATTCTCTCCTCTCTTTGATTGGGACGATGATGGGTTGTTATGATGCATATTTGATTGGGCTCCCTCGACATCGCCCTAATAGTGGGTTGTTATGGTATATATGTGGTTGGACTCTCTAACATCACCCCAATAGTGGGTTGTTATGATACATATGTGGTTAGGCTCCCACGATATCACCCCAATAGTGGGTTGTTATAGTGTATATGTAGTTGGACTCCCTCGACATCGACCCAATACTGGGTTGACGATAATGGTGTATATGGGGTTGTGCTCTTTTCTCCCTTAGACTCGACTTTGTGAAGTTGAATTTATCCCACATCGTCCCAATAGTGGATTGTTATGGTTAGACTCTCTTCTCACTTGAGTTAGCTTTCAACCAGACTCATTTTATATGCAGAAATTTATATAATTCTTTGTAAATTTTTTTCCTCTAATAAGCAAATCTGTAAACACATCATGGTTGAGCGTCATTATTTTGGCTAGATACCGGCATGCTTGAATTTGACTAGTGTTTAATCAATGACTAGTATCAGATTCAGGAATTTTTTATTTTTTTATTTTTGGCAGAAATTGAAGCTAAAGTCGAAAAGATATTGCAGCTTGTGAAAAGTAAAGAACAAGAGAGAGAAGATGGAAACATATCACGTTCAGAAACGGATTCAGAACTCGTTGGTCTCATTGAGGAATTCCACAATCAGTACCAATCGCTCCATACTCGATACAGTAATCTTAGAGGAGAGTCTGGGAGGAGATCTCGTGGTCGTGGCAGGAAAGATAGACAAGCTTCAGCTTCACCAATCTCCGGCTCTGACTCAGACTATTACTCCTCCGAGGACATAGATATTAATAATCACACGTTGACAAATGGGGAGCAGAAGATGTCAAATGCCTCGAGGAAGAAAGAACGTAGAACAGAAAATTCAGAAGTTAATGACAGGAAGCAGAGCTCGGTGTCTACGACCGACGAAAATGAAGCTTCAGACTCTGATGAAAACCTGGAAGCATTTAGCAAAACACAGGCATCGGATAAGGGCGTGGGGGGCCAGATATCTGGATTAAAGCATGAGCTTGAAGCCTTGCGTAGCCAGAAAACAGATTTGGAATCGCAATGTGTGAAGAAAACAACTGAAGCTAAGCAGTTAGAGAAGGAGAATAAAGGACTGCAAGGCCAGATTTCGAAACTTGAATTGATATCAAAAGAGAGTAAAAATGAGATAAGTGATCTGCGGAAAAAACTGAAGGACAATGAGAAAAATTTAAAATCTAAAATCGAGGTATTGAAGGCACAGGTCAGCTATCTGCAATCGGAGCTAGATTCTTCACGTGCTTCAGAAAACAAAGCAACAGGTCTCGTCAAAGGCTTAACGGATCAGATCAATGTAATGCAACGGGATTTAGATTTGCTACTGGAGGGGAAAAACAAAGAAATTTCCGAATACCAGATTCAGGTGAATAATCTAAAAGAGGAACAAACCAAAAAGACTGCAGTCGGGCAGAGAATGCTGACAGAGAAAGAAAGCTTTCTCGTACGGGTGAAGGACCTGGAATTGGAATTGGAATCTTTAAGCGACCAGAAACACAAATTAGAAGAGCAGTTAGATAGTAAAATTCACCACATGAAACTGTTAAGAGAGGAAAAGAAGAGATTGCAAGGGAGAATTGCGGAACTGAGTGATCAGCTTTCTGCTCTTCAAAGAAATTATGAAGGTAGAGAGAAAGAGGCTTCTACTCAGATTCTAGCTTTAAATGCACAAGTTCACAATATGCAGCAGGAGTTATATAATATGCAGTCACAGAAAAGTCAGCAGGATCAACACATCATTAAATTGACAACCAAGTTTGCCGATCAACAGAGAATTCTGAAGGAACAAGTGGAAACTATCAACAAACTATCTGAGGAGTCGAGACAAGACAAACGACGGATCTCCGGGTCCAAGATTAACCTACAAACTGCAGAGAGGAAGATGTCGGAGTTGGCAGAAGAGTTTCGGAAGACACTTGAAGATCACATCCGTGTATTGTACCGGAGAATCCTGGTTGCAGAACAATTACATAATGAAAACAAAGACAGCTATAGGAAGACAAAAGAGAGGCTGGAGGAAGAACATAGAACGATTGAAAAAAAGATTGCAACTCATGAAATTGAGTTGAGGAAGCTGAGGGATTTCTTCCAACCAGGAAGCAAGTCATTGTCAGGATTGGACTTAGCAGTGGGGACCGTGGAGGGCAATGGAGACTTAGTGAGCCGCATTTCCGAAATTTCAACAGAACTTGTCTTTGCAAAGAATTGGGTCAATGATACACTAAATGAGAAAAGGAGATTGCAGCGAGAAGTGAAATGTCTAGCTGAACAGCTTGATGATAAAGAGGAACAAGAATCATTGTTGCGGGATAAGGTATTGAAGTTGGAAGAGAAGTTGGGAAAGCAAGGTGTGGAGAAGTTGAATCTATTAAAATCTGTGAGCCAACTTGAGAGACTGTTAGAAGAATTACAGAACAATATAGAAGCCAAAGAAGAGAGATTATTGAATCTTGGAGAAGAGAAGAGGGAGGCTATAAGGCAGCTCTGCACTTTTATTGATTATTACCGCTGCGACTACTATCATCTCAAGGACGAAATCTCCAAGAAGATTCTTCAAATAAAAAATTAAAACATTTGTTCTCCTAAAACGTCTTGAACATATTGTATTACATTATTATTTTTCATTTTTTGTGTGTATTTTGTTATAACACTATTTTTTTTATTCGAATTGTACATTTAACGAATAATACTTTGAAAATAATGTAAATTACCTTTCCTTTTACACTCACTTTTTTTAACCAAGGTGTTCAGGTTCAAAATCCTACTTATTCACAGTACCACTAATTCGTCCTAAACATCCGAGTTATCCATCAAATAGGTTTTTTTATGGCTATTCAATAGGGATTATTTCTAAGATGGCCAAGCGTATAGTCATAAATGAAGGAACTTACTTAGATTTACACTACCCTACAAAGATCCTGCCTTAGATTGAATTATACTGCGTATAGATGTAAGAATTTAAGATAAAATTCTCTCAGATCATGCTACCTCATAAAGATCTTGCCTCAGATGAATTATGCTGCGTACAGATGAAGGAATTTCGGATGGAATCTTTTCACGTTAGTAAGATCTCTAGTTAACCATGAATACAAAAAATATTAAATCAGTATATTAAGAGTCTTTCTCTATATAACATGGATGTCCATTACGTTGATTAATAGAATTTTTTTAAGATTAAATGCATGCGACTCTAAAACAAGACCTTTGGGTATAACTAGTTTCAGTAACTAAAGGATTTGTCATCCGATATAAGGAGAGAGTTGATAACGGGTTTATTTCACTTTTCTTTGTGAGAAATTGTGTTGAATTAACTCATCCGTTTTGCACTTCCCTACAAAATCAACAAAAAACTCTTTAAAAAAGACGGATTTAATGTTTTTTGAATGAATTTGATGAATTTATTTCAAGGATAAAGATTAATTTATAATTCAATCTTATAAACTTTTTTTCATAATCTCAATATATTATGTTGTAATTGGGCAGAAGAAATCTATAATGAGCAAACGAAACCTATTTATGAGCTCTCACATCATACGGGTGAAAAAAATTTATAAAGTTAGATTATAAGTATAATATTAATTTAATTCAAAGGTCTTGTTACCAAAAGAATAAATAAATAATAAAATTTAATGATTTGTAACATTTTCGTACTGCAAACGGCAGCAGATTCAAACCATGAGAAAAACAAGCGCGGGAACCACATCGGTGGGCCTAGTTACCTCGTATCAGGGCCCAAATTCAATATATCGCGCGGTTTTGTCCAACAACGATACATCAAACAAATAGGGAAACATTGACTGGGAAGACGAAAAATTGAACAGTAGGTGGCGATAATGTAATTAACAATAAACTCAAAGGGTAATTTCTTTTGAAAAGAAGCTCCAAAGATTCCGTCCCCTCCCCTGAAATTGAAGCTACAAATGCTGTACAAGTACTTTGCGTCTTGAGATTGCTCCTAAATCCTAATCCAAACAAAACCACTTTTTCATTTGAACTGTTTTTTAAATTTTTTAATAATTCTCCTTTCACACCATCTCTCTCCCTCTCTGTCTCTCTTTCTCTGCGTTTGCTCTCGGATTCTTGCTTCGGTTTCAGCTGTCTGACTTGCAGGTAAGCTTTGATTATGAACTGATTAGTGATTAACTGATTATTGCTTTGTTCTTTTACTGCTGGAGAGTGTTTTATGTAACTTTTTTCTGTTAATTTTGGTTGTAGTGTTCGATACTATTCTGGATTGTTTCAATGTAATTTTATTTTATTTTTTCTTTCGATTTTGAAGGTTTGATTCATTAGTTAAAGTAGTTTTGTTGAATTCCAGATGATTTCGATTGAGTTTAGAAAATGAATTGTGACAGAAACATTGTTCTCAGATCATGATTTCTGGCTCTTGTCAAAGTTCTGATCGATTGTTCTTTGTTTCCGGTATAATTTTGGTTAAATTTATATTATTTTGTTTATAATTGAATTACGTCCTTGCAGATTGATTCAAATCGAGGAAGCTTCTTAAGAAGAGTGAAAGGGAAAGTTCAGAAATTTGATTTAGGTAAATAATGATATAATTGCTATTATTTTTTCGTTAATTTAGATGGTAAAAGATAAGAAAGAAAAAATTTATTGCATGTTTTTGGATGACTTGTTAGGAAAAACTGTAAAATGAGTGATTATGAAGTAATTGTGTTAGTTTTTTTAATGGGAAAACAAACAAAAAGAAACAGCTCATTCTAACAGATACAATAGCTGTATTTTTTTATCGTTTTAAATACGCTTCTGGGAAATTCCCCAGAGATGATGAATGATGAGGTGGTGCCAGATTAGAACTGATGCTACTCGTTATTATAGTGACGTGGAGTAAATCAAAACGCACTAGACGTTAAGCTCTTTTTCTGTTTTCAAGTTTTATTTTATTCCCATTTATTGTTTTATGGTTCATCCCAAAATTTTAAAAATGGAAATTTTATGCTTATCTTTTTTTTCATAAGATGGATTCAAACCAAACTCTTCATTCAATGGACACATATTTTTTTACTGACAATTTACTAAACATTGTACGGCTGTTACTATCATTGTATTATTTGAGGTTCTGACCAAGGATGGTAGTTTTGGTTATGTAACGGAAGGTGAAATATGTATTATTATTAAAGACATCTCTTGCTTCTGACTGTAAATAGCAAATCAGTTTATTGAAGAAAAATAAAGTAAAAATATTTATCCTCATTAGTGTGCAAGTTATTTATTGGTGCCGTGTTATGGTGTAAAGTTCTATGTATATGATTAAATGCATCAAGGACCTTATGTTTTTGTCATTAATGAAGGTGAGGAATTGGGGTTGGGACCATTACTTTTTTAGGCTAACAGCAATGCTTTACCACTACAGTTTCATGAACTAACGCATTTATTGAACCTTGACTACACAGAACTTAGAAAGTGTTAGGTAGAGAGCCATCTGGAGATATACGGTCTCTAGAATCATCTTGTAGAAAGTACTCTTTAGTGCAAGATTTGATGAAGTCAATCTGCGACATATTTTCAGTGCTGATGAGAGTTTGGAGCAATGCTCTGTGTGATGATTTTTCGTATCCATAAAGAGCAGCCTCCACACATCAGTGATTGAAATATATAGTAAGCTGTAACAGTTTGCTTCTGGGGGCGAGAGAATTTTTGTCGAACCTTTTATTTTGACAGACATTCTTGGTACAGTTTTTTCGGAATGGTAGCAATCAGTATGCCTAACGGGTCTGATGTCAGGTATCATAGCATAATAATAACAGAATTGCGCAAAAATGTTATTTTCAATTGTTTGCTTTCCTTTTGAGTCACACTTTTATATACTCTTAAATCCACCAATAAGCATCTATCTTGCCACTTTTTATCAGTATTTTCCTGTATAAGTTTTACTTTGTGACCTGGTCCTTATCTTATTTAAACTGTTTATACATCCTCTCGGTTATAAACCCTTGGCAAGCAGCTTCACTTTTTATCATGTTGAATGGATTTTGCTTGACAGTGTCTGGATTTTAACAGGATACTTTAAATTCTGAGGTTCTGAGCTCAAGATGGAAACTGAGTTCTCTTGAAACACACTTATTGAGGATACTTGGTTGATAATCTGAAGAGGATATGGGGAAGCATCATTGGAGAAAGTCCATAAAGTCCCTCTTTGGGAGTCACGTTGATCCAGAAAATGATGAACAGCTGAAAGGAACTAAAGCAGGTAATATAAGATAATTTTGATTCTTCTATCTAAAAAGATAAATCTGATTCTTTACAAACATATGGAGGTTATAGGTTTAGATGAACTCCAGATTAAATTTGCTTTTGCATGACAGATTGCAATTTCAAGTGATTGGCTTAAGATAAACTGCAGGTTGATTTGCATGGTTTTCTTTTGCATCTTACGCTATCACTCTTCCCTTTGTAACTTTAATCATTATTTTAGAGAGGACTGAATTTCTTGTTTCCTGCAGAAATTGAAGAAAAGGTCAAAAAGATCTTGAAACTTATCCAAAGTGAGGATCATGAAGAAAAAGATGGGATCAAAGAACCACTTGTTGAACTAATAGAAGATTTCCATGGAAAATACCAATCGCTTTATGCACAATATGATAATCTTAGAGGAGAGCTGAGGAACAAAATACATGGCAAAAAAGGGACGGAGGCTGATTCGTCGTCGACCTCAGACTCGGACTCAGATTATTCTTCGAAGGGCAAACGCAGCAAAAATGGAGAACTTGAAAGTGAATTCCAGAAAACAACAGACAGCATAAAGCAAGAACTTGAAGCAGCAAATTTAGAACTTTCTGATCTGAAGATGAAGTTGACCACTACCAGTGAAGAAAAAGAAGCTTTAGATTTGGAATACCAAACAGCTTTGAGCAAGATACAAGAAGCAGAAGAAGTCATCAGAAATTTGAAGCTTGATACTGAAAGCTTAAATGCTGAAAAGTTGAAACTTTCAGCTGATAATGCAGAGATGAATCAGAAGCTAAAAGCTGCAGATAAGATAGACGCTGAGCGAAATCTAGAAATTTCTGACATGAAGAGGCAGTTGACTGCTACCATTGAAGAAAAGGAAGCTTTAAATTTGGAATATCAAACTGCTTTGAGCAAGACACTAGAAGAGGAGGAAATCATCAGAAATTTGAAGCTTGAAGTTGAAAGCTTAAATGCTGAAAAGTTGAAACTTTCAGCTGATAATGCAGAGCTGACTCAGAAGCTAGAAGCTGCAGGTAAGATAGACGCTGAGCGAAATCTAGAAATTTCTGACATGAAGAGGCAGTTGACTGCTACCATTGAAGAAAAGGAAGCTTTAAATTTGGAATATCAAACTGCTTTGAGCAAGACACTAGAAGAGGAGGAAATCATCAGAAATTTGAAGCTTGAAGTTGAAAGCTTAAATGCTGAAAAGTTGAAACTTTCAGCTGATAATGCAGAGATGACTCAGAAGCTAGAAGCTGCAGGTAAGATTGAAGCTGAGCTAAATCAAAGATTGGAAGATATTATTAGAGATAAAGATAACTTGATCATTGAGAAAAAGGCTGCCCTTGCAAGGATTGAAGAGGGAGAGAAGATTGCTGAAGACTTAAGAGCTGTGGCTGATCGGCTGAATGATGAAAAACAAATTCTCGGGCAGGAAGTAGAAACTCTTAGAGGGGAAACTTCCAATTTAAAGCAGCAACTGGAATCTGCAAAACAGGAAGTCTCAGATTTACGTCAATCACTGAATTCTACTGAGGAAGACAATAAATCTCTGACTTTGAAAGTCTCAGAGGTTTCTAATGAGATTCAGCAAGCACAGAATGTAATAGAAAAACTCATGACTGAATCGAGTCAGTTCAATGAGAAAATTGTTGTGAAAGAGAGGGAACTATCAAGTCTTGCGGAGATGCATGAGGTCCATGGAAATGAAGCATCAGCTCGAATAAAGGAATTAGAGGCTCAAGTAACAGGCATGGAACTAGAGCTGGAAGCATTGCGATCCCAGAATAGAGATATGGAAGTGCAGATTGAGAGCAGAACAACTGAAGTGAAACAATTGGGAGATGAAATTGTCCGACTGCAAGCCCAAATTTTGGAGTTTGGAACAGTGTCGAAAGATAGAGAAGATGAACTCTCTTCTCTGAAGCAGAAACTTGATGCTAATGAAAGTGAATCAATGTCTAGAATAGAGAATTTGACAGCACAGATCAGCAATCTGTTAGCTGACATGGATTCTTTACGCTCTCAGAAAGCTGAATTGGAAGGACAGATAGTATTCAAAAGTGAAGAAACATCAACTCAGGTCAAGGGTCTTTTGGATCAGGTAAACACACTGCAGCAGGAATTGGAATCTCTGCACAGCCAGAAAGCTGGTTTGGAATTGCAACTTGAGGAGAAAACCAAAGATATTTCAGAATACATGATTCAGGTAGAAAAACTGAAAGAGGAGATAGTGAGCAAGACTGAGGTTCAGCAGAGAATTCTGGAAGAGAAAGAAAGTTTGACAGCCAAAATTGAGAGCCTGGAACTGGAGGTGGCTTCTCTAAGCAATCAGAAAACTGACATGGAAGAGCAGATAAGAAGTAAAATTGAAGAGACTGGTCATTTGAGAGAGGTAAATGCAGAGTTACATGACAAAATATCTGAATTGGAGATAGCATTAACAGAGAGGGAGGTTGAGTTATCTTCTCTGCAGGAGAAACATATAAATGTAGAAAATGAAGTCTCTGCTCAAATAACAGCCTTAGCAGCGCAGGTTAACAGTCTACAACAGGGCTTGGATTCCTTGCAGGCCCAGAAGAGTCAATTGGAATCACAACTTGAAAGAGAGAAACAAGAATCTTCAGAAGGTGTTATCCAAATGGAAAATGAGAAAAATGAGTTGCTGAATCAGATTACAGATCAGCAGAAACAGCTCAATGAACAGGAAGATGCATACAAGAAGCTGAGCGAGGAGTATAAACAAGTTGAAGTTTCATTCCAGGAATGCAGGGCAAATCTTGAAGTTGCAGAAAGGAAAATCAAAGAAATGACAGATGAACTCAGTAGGCATGTTGAGTCCAATGATCAGAGGGTGGCTGATTTGGAAGAAAAAGTTGAAGACCTGAAAAGAGATCTAGATGTAAAAGGAGACGAACTGAGTACTTTGGTTGAGAATGTCCGCCAAATTGAAGTTAAGCTTCGCCTATCAAACCAGAAGCTTCGGGTCACAGAACAATTACTAACTGAGAAGGAAGAGAGCTTCAGAAAAGCAGAGGCAAAGTTTTTAGAAGAACAGAGAATGCTGGAAGAAAGAATTGCTACATTGTCTGGAACTATTGCTGCCAACAAGGAGGCCCATCACAGGATGATCACAGATATCTCAGTGAAAGTTAAAAGTACTTTGACTGAGCTAGAAACTGTGATACACAGGTTTGAAGAGGCCTATGGAAGCTATGAGCATCGTATAGAGGAAAAATCAGAGGAGCTTCGGATTGCAAGGAGTTGGGTCGTGGAGGCAAATAACGAAAGGGAGCAACTGAAGCTAGAAGTAAGCAAACTGGCTGGGCAACTGCAAAATAAGAAAGAACAAGAATCGACATTGAGAGAACGGTTTGAGAAGCTAGAAGTCAAGGCAAGCAAGGAAGAAGCAGAGAAGTTGAACCTGACCAAAGCCATAAATCAACTTGAGAAGAAAGTGGAAGTTTTAGAGACGACGATGAAGGAGAAGGACGAGGGTATCTTGGGTATCGGAGAGGAGAAGAGGGAGGCCATAAGGCAACTGTGCGTGTGGATTGATTATCATCGGAGCCGCTATGATTATCTCAAGGAAATACTCTCAAAGGTGGTGCCTGTTAGAGGGCAGAGAGCAACATAGAAGTCTTTGGTATCTGTAATTCATGTATGTTTAGTCGTTCATTGTGTCTTTTTTGTACTGTGGGCAATATTTTATTATTTCATTTTTTGGAAAAGAGGGCGGTCCATAAGAAGATAGGTGATGATTGAACGTTACTAGTGGTTGGGCGTATTTCATTCAATTTGGTTGCAAGATTTGCTTTTATATTTGTTAATCCAGCATTGTATTTTGTATAGAAGTCATGCTCTAGTTTTTCTTACCTTTAATTTATAAATATGGTTTTGGGTTGTGTAATATGTCAGATTGCAAAACTTTGTAAATTTGTTTAATTTGCTTTTTCGCCAAAACCCCAATACAGGCAAAACTTTAGTTATCTAGGTGGATTATCCAGAGATTTGGTGTTCAAGTCTCACAAAGTGATCATTTATCACATTTATGATTTATCTGATTCATTAAATTTATAAGATATTCAATAGACTCTGAACACTCCATTAACAAACAAAAAATAATAATAATAATAATAATAATACAAGCAATTACCATCATAATCCTCGACTCTGCCTCACCAACGCAGAGATCCGTTTAATTTTTTGTTCTCCATTTGATTTGCACCCAGCAAGCAATATGATTGTACAGACGGACATCCGGTAGCCATTACAAATTAACAGGACTATTTTCAACTGCTTTCTCTTCTAACCTACTTATAGTTATGCATCACTTCACAATAACACACTTCTGAAACCATTAATAATATATGTATAATATTATTGGAATAATTTTATAACCATTCAATATCAATCAATGTTTTAAAACCCAACCCGGGGTGAAACCCGGCAAACCTTCCGGGTCCCGGGTTGACGGGTTGACAAAAACTTTTAAAATTCAGCAAATATACCCCTAAAAATGTTAGTTAAGTCCCTATAGGTTTGAAATTTATCAAACACACCCCAACTACAAATCAACCTGCGACTGATTAGCGGCAACGACACCCCAGATGCAACCCCAATCGTCCCTTGAGCCCATTTCCATCAAAATATATCCACGATCTAGCCGAAATAGGTTCGATTTCGACCAGATCTCACCGACGTCGACGTCAGCATTCTAGGCCAGATCCCGTCGATTCCAGCAACAACAACCCTCCCCATCACCCTAGAATTACTCCCCTTTTACTCCCGACCAAAACCCACCTCACCCAACCCCCATTTGCCTCGTCAATCGCCGGAAAAATCTCATCGTTGCCGCTGCCAGTTTTGTTCGATTTTCGATCGATTTACTTACTAGAAATCAACTCTTTCACCACCATTACATTCACCGGAAATTGCTCTTCAAAATACCCAACATTCAGACAGTTAATTGTTCGTCGATCATCACTAAAAATCCTAGGGTATTGGGTAAATAGGAAAAAATTAAACCTACCCGTTGAAGCTTCCGGGTCTCGGTTGAACCAGTTCAACCGGCCGGGCCGGGCCAGGTTTTAAGACATTGATATCAATTGGAATAATTTTATATAAGTATATAATATTATTCATTATTGTTAACAGCAGCAATTAACAGTTTCGGCTTCTAGCATCTTATTATTATTCTGATATAACAACACACATACAGGAATCAAATAGCATTTCACACTGTTGAGGACCACCAGAATAGATGAAGTCAGAAACATTAATAATCCAACTGCTTGATCAATCAAAGAAATTTCCATCAATCTTCCAGCAAAAAGCCAAAGTCCTATCTGTATAGTATCCAGAAACATTTTGGTTGCGTCTACTATCGTTTCCAGTGTCATTCTCCGATTTCCTTCTTTATTTTATCTCGTAAAATGTATTATACTTGGATAACTAATAAATCGAAAACTCACAAAACATGAAAAAAGTTGTTTCCTATGTTTTTTGTTTTCAACTCCATTCCCATATTTTTATCATAAAGAAAATGATAACAAACACGTCCCCTTTATTATCCTTCTAATATAATGATCAAGAAGAGGAATCATAAAATAGATCACCTATCATATCGTAAAAAAACCAAAGGATTCTCGAGAAGCCCAACTTAAAGCATACACAAAAGTTCGCGAAAAGAAAGTGTTATGGAACCAAATAAGTTCAAAGAGCATTAGATTCTACTAACAAACCAGTCACAAATAGACATGGGAAATAATTAACTTCAAACTCCAAACAAAACTACTGGGTTGCATCTGCTGCATCATTTCCTCATAAATACTTTATTGCATGTATGAATAAATACTAAAAACTAAGTTGAGTTTAGATCCTGATAAATAGGTATAACCAGGGAGGGATATCAACATTGACCAAATATGGGATTCTAAATTTTCCCCTACATCCAAATTAGATAATACCTGACAGTTCCCTTATAATATTCTAATTGCTTGCAGAATGAACAGAGAAGTTTTTGAAAATCATGGAGCACCTCTTTGCTTCAGTCAGATATCCTCATCTCAACTCCGAGAACATCCTTCACCAGTTCATATGTCACAAATGCAATGGCTATGGAAGGAACCACCTGAAGGAAATGCAGAAGAGCATTATATGTTTTTGCACACCAGATTACTTAGAAACTATGGCATGAAATAATTTACGCTAGAACAGTGAGATGTGAACTAATGCCATGCAAATTACCAATTAATAGATATTTCTCAAACTGATGATCGAGTTGAACAATTTATCAAATGAAGCTGATTACTAAGTCTAAGCTATTATACTGACCTTCACTGAATTAGGCACCAAACCCTTGTATAATGCTCCAAACCCCTCGTGCCGAACTGTTTTCCTAAAAGTATCAACCATGCCAGTATATTCAACCTTGCTCTTTCCATCCCCAGTCACAACAGAAGCAGCATCTTTCCAGCCCACCATCTGCATTCTTCTTCGAATGACATCCAAAGGATAAGCAACTGTCTGGCCAACAGTTCCAGCAGCAGCTCCACATGCAAGCCTAGTTGTCACACCCAACTCATTGTTCTCATCAACTAACCCAAATGCTTTAGATTTGATCAGCCAATCTTTCAGAGATTCATAAACGGCAAAATTGAGACCCACATATGGTACCTGTAAACATCATAGAATATAATAAGACCCCGACATAAAGAAATGAGGATGACACGGATTTTTATGAAATATAGAACAACATAAAAATGATTTTCCAGTTTATGTTGAAAAGACAGAGAGCATAGTCCTGCCCCATCAGAAAAGCAACTCATCACAAAAACAGAAGTCCACATGCATGAACCATGTAAATGTAGACTTCTATAATGCAAATGCACAAAAAATATGAATGTAACAAAATTTTAGTTAATATTGCAACATGTCCTCCAATAAAAGCATGACATTTACTTACAACTCCAATGACAGAAGGAAGCCATCCTTTGTACAAAGCCCGGGGACCTTCTTCTCTGAGGACTGTTGACAGTGCATGGAAGATTCCTCTATACTGGCGAGGAGACTTGTCTGTCTGTGAAAACACATGGACAAAGTTAAACCATCAAAATGTTTACGTGAGGGGTGAAAATTTTGTATACCAGAAAGAGTAGATCAGGGATCAAACTCATAAACTCACTTTCCGAATGGTAATTCCAAAAAATACCTGAACAGTTAGCCGACCTCGTACCATGTCCATTGGGTAAGTGGCTGACATGGCAATAATTCCAGCACATGCACCAGCTCCAAGGCGTAGTACAGGAGTGAGCTCCGCCTCTTCTGCAAGAGAAACAAAAAAATTACTATGAAATCTCGCATCATCTTTCTCTCTTTGTTTCTTTCTTTCTCCTCCTATAGTCTCATTCTTTGTTGACCATAAGCCAAACTACAATCATTAATGGGGGATATCAAGACAGCAAAGAAAAACAAAAAGATTACATGCAAAATATAAAACACCTTTCGATGAAGGAAATCCATAAGAAAAGCCAACAAAAAATATAGCATAAAAGATAAGATCCATTCCCAAAAACTCATTTTGTGACTAAAAATCTTATATATGTAAGTTCAGCTTAAACAATATCAAAATATTCTACACTCACACATACACACACAAAACGTACTGATGCACAAACAAATCATTTACACCAAACCCGCTACATTATGTCAATACATATGCACCAAACTCAACATCAAAAAAACAATTAAACTTTGAAACTGAAGAATAGCAATTGGTTATAAACGTCGTGAGAGTTCACAAAATGAATTCAGAGCAATGAGAGAGGTAGAAGAAAGAAAGTAAGAAAGAAATTGAGAAAATAGGATTCATACCATTTCCAGATTGTTGGCGGTAAAACCATAAAATACCCCTATTTACAAAAAGTAAGAAGAGAGTGTTAATTTATCAAATCGAATGGACAAGTGCTACAAATTTCTAATGCCTACATAATAGTTTCTAGTTTCTAGTTTCTAGTAAAAGATGAAAAAGCATTTGCATCCTAAATACTAAAACAAATGCCACTATAAATCAGTAATAATATACTAATCCAGAGGAAAAGGAAGCACCAGAACATACTTAGATGCTTCCTCATAACTAAAGAACTTGACTGCTGAGTTTGGAACAATGCGAGCACAATTAGTGCCATTGCCTTTAAACAACCCTCTAAAACCCTCAGTTCTCCATATATATTTCAAGCCCTGAATTGTTCCATTGTATTTTATACTATGAGGATTTTGAACCTGCATATTTCAGAACCAAATTCTATTACTCTTAACAAATATAAGATAATATAACTTAATAGACAAATTATAATGATAAACTACCTGCAGCAAAATTTTCAATCTCTCCAAGGGGGCAACAGCAGTACGCGACCTACAACAGATAGTCGATTAAGATAAAATTCGACAATCGAATTGCTAATTATAATATTTAAAAAATTCACTACAAGTGTGCATTTTACAACAGTTAAATTTTGTGAAGGCAATGTGAAGTGATCACTACGATTAAGTATGATATTTATGAAACATTAATTTATATCTAGCAATGCTACAGTTAAATAATTTACATAGTAAAAACAAGAGCAAGTTTAATGAAAAACCGAGTAGAAATATATTCATAAAAACTGAAATTATAAATTTATTGAACAATAAACTCAACAACACTGTCATGAATGAATAAACTTCGTAACAAAAACAAGGAAAATAAAAATAGATCAAAGGAGACTCACACTCCACCGGCGATGCCACCGGCGACGAGAGACTTGGAGATAGAAAGAAGCGCGTGGCTTGGCGCTTTCACTCCTTCACTGGCGAGCTTGGCCTCTTCAGCAAGATTCACGATTGTCGAAACCGCGGCCTCACTCCTCTTCACATCTTCTCTGGACGCCATCCTTGTTCCAATAAAAGTAAAAAAGAAAAAACACAGACCTAAGCTCCTTGGTCAAACTCACGGCGTTGACCGGTGGCCGGCGATCGTTGTAATTTTTTTTTTATTTTTTTTGATTTAAAACGGAGTTATCATTTGTTGAGGTTTCAGAGAGACACCAAGTGAAAGTGAGGGCGGAGGCGCTGTTCAAACACAAAAAACATTTCGCATAGGTTTATATATATTTATATCAATAATATAAAATTTATTTTTTTTCTTTTATTTAAAAAGGAAAAGGAAAATAAAACAGAACTCAGTTGTACTATCGACGCGCTGGGTTTGTGAGGGTATAATTAGGGTAAGGGAATTTAAAACAAAACAAAAGTTTTAAGTAATTTTATTTTAATTTTAGGTTCATTTCATTGGAGGCAGTTGGATCTAGGGTCCTTTCAAATCATCTCGTGTATCATAATTCATGGGGAGAGTGTGACAGTCAAGTCAAGCTAATATTTTTTTCGGATAATTAAAATACATGACATTTTATACAATCAATGTGATGTCTCTGTGATTTGTCCATTAACATATTTATAAATTATTATATTTAAGTATAGGGTAAATGACTTTTTCCCTACAAAGGTTTGCCTTACCAATACTATTTCACTCAAAAAAAAGTTTCAAAATATTATTTTCTCATCCAATGTTTATATTCTGTTAATATCCAAAATACATTTCACTTTTTCAACCAACGTTCAGCGAGTTACTATAAGTCAGGGTATGAGGGTTTTTGTAGAGTGGAGGTCAATAGGTCAAATGATAGTAACCGATTGAATATTCGTGATTGGAATCAACCGAAAGTTAGTTAAGAACAGAAAACTAGTTTTGTGGTAGCCGACAATCGGTGAGAAATCAAATGTGAGAGTGAGAGGGATTTTATAGAGAGGAGACCAAAAGTTCAAATGGTGGTAATAGAGAAAATTTTCACCATCGAAATCAACTTTGGTTAGTAACATAACATTAACTTTGGACGGGAAAAGTGATATTTTGAAATTTTTTGGGTGGAAAGGTGTCTTTAAGGCAAAGATTGCGTGGGAAAAAATCGTTTACTCTTAGACCATCTCCAACCCATTGCACCAGATTGGTGTGTCTATTACATCTCTAACCCATTGCATCAAATATTACACCAAAAAGAATATAAATCTTATTATTATTCTGATATAACAACACACATACAGGAATCAAATAGCATTTCACACTGTTGAGGACCACCAGAATAGATGAAGTCAGAAACATTAATAATCCAACTGCTTGATCAATCAAAGAAATTTCCATCAATCTTCCAGCAAAAAGCCAAAGTCCTATCTGTATAGTATCCAGAAACATTTTGGTTGCGTCTACTATCGTTTCCAGTGTCATTCTCCGATTTCCTTCTTTATTTTATCTCGTAAAATGTATTATACTTGGATACCTAATAAATCGAAAACTCACAAAACATGAAAAAAGTTGTTTCCTATGTTTTTTGTTTTCAACTCCATTCCCATATTTTTATCATAAAGAAAATGAAAACAAACATGTCCCCTTTATTATCCTTCTAATATAATGATCAAGAAGAGGAATCATAAAATAGATCACCTATCATGTCGTAAAAAAATCAAAGGATTCTCGAGAAGCCCAACTTAAAGCATACACAAAAGTTCGCGGAAAGAAAGTGTTATGGAACCAAATAAGTTCAAAGAGCATTAGATTCTACTAACAAACCAGTCACAAATAGACATGGGAAATAATTAACTTCAAACTCCAAACAAAACTACTGGGTTGCATCTGCTGCATCATTTCCTCATAAATACTTTATTGCATGTATGAATAAATACTAAAAACTAAGTTGAGTTTAGATCCTGATAAATAGGTATAACCAGGGAGGGATATCAACATTGACCAAATATGGGATTCTAAATTTTCCCCTACATCCAAATTAGATAATACCTGACAGTTCCCTTATAATATTCTAATTGCTTGCAGAATGAACAGAGAAGTTTTTGAAAATCATGGAGCACCTCTTTGCTTCAGTCAGATATCCTCATCTCAACTCCGAGAACATCCTTCACCAGTTCATATGTCACAAATGCAATGGCTATGGAAGGAACCACCTGAAGGAAATGCAGAAGAGCATTATATGTTTTTGCACACCAGATTACTTAGAAACTATGGCATGAAATAATTTACGCTAGAACAGTGAGATGTGAACTAATGCCATGCAAATTACCAATTAATAGATATTTCTCAAACTGATGATCGAGTTGAACAATTTATCAAATGAAGCTGATTACTAAGTCTAAGCTATTATACTGACCTTCACTGAATTAGGCACCAAACCCTTGTATAATGCTCCAAACCCCTCGTGCCGAACTGTTTTCCTAAAAGTATCAACCATGCCAGTATATTCAACCTTGCTCTTTCCATCCCCAGTCACAACAGAAGCAGCATCTTTCCAGCCCACCATCTGCATTCTTCTTCGAATGACATCCAAAGGATAAGCAACTGTCTGGCCAACAGTTCCAGCAGCAGCTCCACATGCAAGCCTAGTTGTCACACCCAACTCATTGTTCTCATCAACTAACCCAAATGCTTTAGATTTGATCAGCCAATCTTTCAGAGATTCATAAACGGCAAAATTGAGACCCACATATGGTATCTGTAAACATCATAGAATATAATAAGACCCCGACATAAAGAAATGAGGATGACAAGGATTTTTATGAAATATAGAACAACATAAAAATAATTTTCCAGTTTATGTTGAAAAGACACAGAGCATAGTCCTGCCCCATCAGAAAAGCAACTCATCACAAAAACAGAAGTCCACATGCATGAACCATGTAAATGTAGACTTCTATAATGCAAATGCACAAAAAATATGAATGTAACAAAATTTTAGTTAATATTGCAACATGTCCTCCAATAAAAGCACGACATTTACTTACAACTCCAATGACAGAAGGAAGCCATCCTTTGTACAAAGCCCGGGGACCTTCTTCTCTGAGGACTGTTGACAGTGCATGGAAGATTCCTCTATACTGGCGAGGTGACTTGTCTGTCTGTGAAAACACATGGACAAAGTTAAACCATCAAAATGTTTACATGAGGGGTGAAAATTTTGTATACCAGAAAGAGTAGATTAGGGATCAAACTCATAAACTCACTTTCCGAATGGTAATTCCAAAAAATACCTGAACAGTTAGCCGACCTCGTACCATGTCCATTGGGTAAGTGGCTGACATGGCAATAATTCCAGCACATGCACCAGCTCCAAGGCGTAGTACAGGAGTGAGCTCCGCCTCTTCTGCAAGAGAAACAAAAAAATTACTATGAAATCTCGCATCATCTTTCTCTCTTTGTTTCTTTCTTTCTCCTCCTATAGTCTCATTCTTTGTTGACCATAAGCCAAACTACAATCATTAATGGGGGATATCAAGACAGCAAAGAAAAACAAAAAGATTACATGCAAAATATAAAACACCTTTCGATGAAGGAAATCCATAAGAAAAGCCAACAAAAAATATAGCATAAAAGATAAGATCCATTCCCAAAAACTCATTTTGTGACTAAAAATCTTATATATGTAAGTTCAGCTTAAACAATATCAAAATATTCTACACTCACACATACACACACAAAACGTACTGATGCACAAACAAATCATTTACACCAAACCCGCTACATTATGTCAATACATATGCACCAAACTCAACATCAAAAAAACAATTAAACTTTGAAACTGAAGAATAGCAATTGGTTATAAACGTCGTGAGAGTTCACAAAATGAATTCAGAGCAATGAGAGAGGTAGAAGAAAGAAAGTAAGAAAGAAATTGAGAAAATAGGATTCATACCATTTCCAGATTGTTGGCGGTAAAACCATAAAATACCCCTATTTACAAAAAGTAAGAAGAGAGTGTTAATTTATCAAATCGAATGGACAAGTGCTACAAATTTCTAATGCCTACATAATAGTTTCTAGTTTCTAGTTTCTAGTAAAAGATGAAAAAGCATTTGCATCCTAAATACTAAAACAAATGCCACTATAAATCAGTAATAATATACTAATCCAGAGGAAAAGGAAGCACCAGAACATACTTAGATGCTTCCTCATAACTAAAGAACTTGACTGCTGAGTTTGGAACAATGCGAGCACAATTAGTGCCATTGCCTTTAAACAACCCTCTAAAACCCTCAGTTCTCCATATATATTTCAAGCCCTGAATTGTTCCATTGTATTTTATACTATGAGGATTTTGAACCTGCATATTTCAGAACCAAATTCTATTACTCTTAACAAATATAAGATAATATAACTTAATAGACAAATTATAATGATAAACTACCTGCAGCAAAATTTTCAATCTCTCCAAGGGGGCAACAGCAGTACGCGACCTACAACAGATAGTCGATTAAGATAAAATTCGACAATCGAATTGCTAATTATAATATTTAAAAAATTCACTACAAGTGTGCATTTTACAACAGTTAAATTTTGTGAAGGCAATGTGAAGTGATCACTACGATTAAGTATGATATTTATGAAACATTAATTTATATCTAGCAATGCTACAGTTAAATAATTTACATAGTAAAAACAAGAGCAAGTTTAATGAAAAACCGAGTAGAAATATATTCATAAAAACTGAAATTATAAATTTATTGAACAATAAACTCAACAACACTGTCATGAATGAATAAACTTCGTAACAAAAACAAGGAAAATAAAAATAGATCAAAGGAGACTCACACTCCACCGGCGATGCCACCGGCGACGAGAGACTTGGAGATAGAAAGAAGCGCGTGGCTTGGCGCTTTCACTCCTTCACTGGCGAGCTTGGCCTCTTCAGCAAGATTCACGATTGTCGAAACCGCGGCCTCACTCCTCTTCACATCTTCTCTGGACGCCATCCTTGTTCCAATAAAAGTAAAAAAGAAAAAACACAGACCTAAGCTCCTTGGTCAAACTCACGGCGTTGACCGGTGGCCGGCGATCGTTGTAATTTTTTTTTTATTTTTTTTGATTTAAAACGGAGTTATCATTTGTTGAGGTTTCAGAGAGACACCAAGTGAAAGTGAGGGCGGAGGCGCTGTTCAAACACAAAAAACATTTCGCATAGGTTTATATATATTTATATCAATAATATAAAATTTATTTTTTTTCTTTTATTTAAAAAGGAAAAGGAAAATAAAACAGAACTCAGTTGTACTATCGACGCGCTGGGTTTGTGAGGGTATAATTAGGGTAAGGGAATTTAAAACAAAACAAAAGTTTTAAGTAATTTTATTTTAATTTTAGGTTCATTTCATTGGAGGCAGTTGGATCTAGGGTCCTTTCAAATCATCTCGTGTATCATAATTCATGGGGAGAGTGTGACAGTCAAGTCAAGCTAATATTTTTTTCGGATAATTAAAATACATGACATTTTATACAACAATGTGATGTCTCGGTGATTTGTCCATTAACATATTTATAAATTATTATATAGGGTAAATGACTTTTTCTCTACCAAGGTTTGCCATAAAGATACTTTTTCATCTAAAAAGTTTTAAAATATTACGTTCTCATCCAATGGTTATATTGTATTAATATCTAAAATATATTTCACTTTCTCAACGGACATTCGACGAGTTACTATAAGCCAGAGTTTCTCAACAGACGTTCGACGAGTTACTATAAGCCAGAGTAAAAGGATTTTTTATAGAATGGAGGCTAACAGATTGACTGGTGGCGACCGATTGAATATTCGTGATTGGAATAAACTGAAAGTTAGTTAAGAACAGGAAACTAGTTTTGTGGTGGCCGATAATCGATGAGAAATCAAGTGTGAGGTGAGAGAAATTTTATAGAGAGAAAACCAAAAGTTCAAATGGTGGTGATAGAGAGAATTTTACCGTCGGAATCAACTTTGGTTAGTAACAGAGCATTAACTTTGGATGGAAAAGTGATATTTTGAAACTTTTTGAGTGAAAAAGTATCTTTAAGGCAAACATTGGGTGGGAAAAAGTCTATTACTCTTAGGTCATCTTCAACCAAATATTACACCAAAAAGAATATTCTTTAGAATGTTCTTTTTCTTTTTCTTTTATTATAATAATCAGCAATTAATCTATTTCACTCATTATTCTTGTATATATTAATTAAATATTGGAAATGATATTTTTATTAAATAATAATTACTTTGAAAATTATACTAATTTAATAAAATTAAGTATTTATTTAATCAACTAAACATTACATTTAATATAGAAAAACATTACATCTAATATAAAATGATACAAAAAAAAAAAACAACAACTACACAAAAGTAAAATTCCATATTGATAGTAATTTAATTTTCCGAATTAGTATATTTTTCCTACAAATGATCAATTAATGCATTTCGAAGAGTATGGTGAGCCTATGTATCCTTGATTTGTCTATGTCGAGCAAGAAAATTTTGAAATCAGACATTTTCATCTACGACAATTTCAACTTCGGGAGTTTGCGCTTCCATCTGATTCTCAATCGATGCATCAACATTACGATCATCCTCGATTGTCATGTTGTGTATAATAATACACACAATCATTATATCATGTAATACATTTTTTTTCCTCAAAAATATGTCGGTCTTGCCACAATTGCAAACCGCGATTGGAGAACTTCAAACGCACGTTTCACGTATTTTCTATATCCTTCTTGTTTCATTGCAAATAATTTTTTTTGGGACCACGTGAATCGCGAATTATATAATTATTATAAATATTAATTTAAATACAAATAACAAAATTTAAATATTTTTTTTTACTGTTTGAACAAGTGGTACTGTAGATGAGCTCCAAATTGGTGCAAATATTGGCGCTGGTTGAGGTAAGTTTCACGCTATTTTGGAGATGCCCTTAAGTATATCATATCTATTTAAAGTTGTGTAATTATTCTTCAATAAATCCATAGTTAGAGTCTTGGTGTATTCCCACTACTTGGGAGTTTGTAGCTTCATGTTCTATATCATTCTTCGATAGACATTTTTTTCACCCTTATGGTACAACTTTGCTATCAATCACTTTCAAGTATTTTACCTTGTAAGAAATCTCTGACGCAACACTTCGACGCTTTGCCTAATAACATAATGTTAATGACTTTTTTCCACCCAAATAATAGTTCATTGACACTTTTCTACCCATAAATTTTTAAAATACTATTTTATTACCCAAATTTATATTCTGACAGTTAACAAAGAGCAAACTCAATTTAGATTGTTGATACTTTTGAAGAGAAGAGGTCAATAAGTCTTTGAGTAGTGGAAAGTTAGATTTTGGTAGTTGAGATTTATTGGAATTTGACTTGAGAAGGGTGGCTGCGTAAATCTTAATAGCTCGATTGTTGGCAAGAGTAGGGTTTGAGGGGTTTTGGTGAGTGATGATCGGGAAAGAAAATAGTGGTGGTATGGGGTTGCAACGATGCCAGAGTCAGAAATAAAATATAAATTTGGATAATAAAATGATATTTTAAAAATTTGTAAGTGGAAAAATATCATTAAACCATTATTTGGATGGGAAAAAGTTGTTTACTCAATAACATAGTGCTTGTATTGCTTTTTGCAATCCCGTTTTCACGATTTTTGCTGCGCCAATTCATTTGTATTACAGGGATCTCATAGAAATAAATGAAATAAACTTTGATATAATTATAATAAAGAAAATAGAAAAAAATTATTGAATATAATGTGCTTATAAAAAATTTCCATAACAAAATAATTAAAATACTCTTCTCTATATATATATATATATATTTTTTTTTTTCAATTGTATGAAAATCAGCCTAAATCGTTTCTTTACCAAGATTAGGGCAAGGTTTTGTTCAGTAAATCATGGGTAAGGAGGACCTTAGCATAAATTCAATAACGATTTTTAATGGTACAAAATGTGATGGGCAAGTGGCAGAGTTAGTTGCCGCTAATGGTGAATATGAAGATTTGCTGTCTGTCGATTGGTCTATTTGACATGGGTGATGGTAGCTTTAGCATAAAATGTGTTGAGATAAGCATTTCCTCCTTTCAAGGGCTTATCTGGAGGGTCATGTGTATGTCACTGTCGTTTAACTGGAAGCCAAACTTATGGGCAATTTCGAGAAATAACCATCTGCTCGACAGCTCCACATATTTTTTTTCTTCCATTCATGTCTTTGTCCAAATCCAACAACAAATATATTGACACGTGGCCAAAATTAATGCCAAAAATGGCTATTTTTCAAAGATTTCTTTTAGGATACGGTGTCATCCACAAACACAACCATCTTTCTTGGATTTTATTTGCCTTCATTTTGACGATTCTAATTATTCACAATTCCATTAATTTAGCTTTACACTTTGCAATATACGAGAAAAACCAACAATTCAAGCCAACAAAAAATATAGCATAAAAGATAAGATCCATTCCCAAAAACTCATTTTGTGACTAAAAATCTTATATATGTAAGTTCAGCTTAAACAATATCAAAATATTCTACACTCACACATACACACACAAAACGTACTGATGCACAAACAAATCATTTACACCAAACCCGCTACATTATGTCAATACATATGCACCAAACTCAACATCAAAAAAACAATTAAACTTTGAAACTGAAGAATAGCAATTGGTTATAAACGTCGTGAGAGTTCACAAAATGAATTCAGAGCAATGAGAGAGGTAGAAGAAAGAAAGTAAGAAAGAAATTGAGAAAATAGGATTCATACCATTTCCAGATTGTTGGCGGTAAAACCATAAAATACCCCTATTTACAAAAAGTAAGAAGAGAGTGTTAATTTATCAAATCGAATGGACAAGTGCTACAAATTTCTAATGCCTACATAATAGTTTCTAGTTTCTAGTTTCTAGTAAAAGATGAAAAAGCATTTGCATCCTAAATACTAAAACAAATGCCACTATAAATCAGTAATAATATACTAATCCAGAGGAAAAGGAAGCACCAGAACATACTTAGATGCTTCCTCATAACTAAAGAACTTGACTGCTGAGTTTGGAACAATGCGAGCACAATTAGTGCCATTGCCTTTAAACAACCCTCTAAAACCCTCAGTTCTCCATATATATTTCAAGCCCTGAATTGTTCCATTGTATTTTATACTATGAGGATTTTGAACCTGCATATTTCAGAACCAAATTCTATTACTCTTAACAAATATAAGATAATATAACTTAATAGACAAATTATAATGATAAACTACCTGCAGCAAAATTTTCAATCTCTCCAAGGGGGCAACAGCAGTACGCGACCTACAACAGATAGTCGATTAAGATAAAATTCGACAATCGAATTGCTAATTATAATATTTAAAAAATTCACTACAAGTGTGCATTTTACAACAGTTAAATTTTGTGAAGGCAATGTGAAGTGATCACTACGATTAAGTATGATATTTATGAAACATTAATTTATATCTAGCAATGCTACAGTTAAATAATTTACATAGTAAAAACAAGAGCAAGTTTAATGAAAAACCGAGTAGAAATATATTCATAAAAACTGAAATTATAAATTTATTGAACAATAAACTCAACAACACTGTCATGAATGAATAAACTTCGTAACAAAAACAAGGAAAATAAAAATAGATCAAAGGAGACTCACACTCCACCGGCGATGCCACCGGCGACGAGAGACTTGGAGATAGAAAGAAGCGCGTGGCTTGGCGCTTTCACTCCTTCACTGGCGAGCTTGGCCTCTTCAGCAAGATTCACGATTGTCGAAACCGCGGCCTCACTCCTCTTCACATCTTCTCTGGACGCCATCCTTGTTCCAATAAAAGTAAAAAAGAAAAAACACAGACCTAAGCTCCTTGGTCAAACTCACGGCGTTGACCGGTGGCCGGCGATCGTTGTAATTTTTTTTTTATTTTTTTTGATTTAAAACGGAGTTATCATTTGTTGAGGTTTCAGAGAGACACCAAGTGAAAGTGAGGGCGGAGGCGCTGTTCAAACACAAAAAACATTTCGCATAGGTTTATATATATTTATATCAATAATATAAAATTTATTTTTTTTCTTTTATTTAAAAAGGAAAAGGAAAATAAAACAGAACTCAGTTGTACTATCGACGCGCTGGGTTTGTGAGGGTATAATTAGGGTAAGGGAATTTAAAACAAAACAAAAGTTTTAAGTAATTTTATTTTAATTTTAGGTTCATTTCATTGGAGGCAGTTGGATCTAGGGTCCTTTCAAATCATCTCGTGTATCATAATTCATGGGGAGAGTGTGACAGTCAAGTCAAGCTAATATTTTTTTCGGATAATTAAAATACATGACATTTTATACAATCAATGTGATGTCTCTGTGATTTGTCCATTAACATATTTATAAATTATTATATTTAAGTATAGGGTAAATGACTTTTTCCCTACAAAGGTTTGCCTTACCAATACTATTTCACTCAAAAAAAAGTTTCAAAATATTATTTTCTCATCCAATGTTTATATTCTGTTAATATCCAAAATACATTTCACTTTTTCAACCAACGTTCAGCGAGTTACTATAAGTCAGGGTATGAGGGTTTTTGTAGAGTGGAGGTCAATAGGTCAAATGATAGTAACCGATTGAATATTCGTGATTGGAATCAACCGAAAGTTAGTTAAGAACAGAAAACTAGTTTTGTGGTAGCCGACAATCGGTGAGAAATCAAATGTGAGAGTGAGAGGGATTTTATAGAGAGGAGACCAAAAGTTCAAATGGTGGTAATAGAGAAAATTTTCACCATCGAAATCAACTTTGGTTAGTAACATAACATTAACTTTGGACGGGAAAAGTGATATTTTGAAATTTTTTGGGTGGAAAGGTGTCTTTAAGGCAAAGATTGCGTGGGAAAAAATCGTTTACTCTTAGACCATCTCCAACCCATTGCACCAGATTGGTGTGTCTATTACATCTCTAACCCATTGCATCAAATATTACACCAAAAAGAATATAAAATATTCTTTTTCTTTTTCTTTTATTGTAATAATCAACAATTAATCTATTTCACTCATTATTTTTATATATATTAATTAAATATTGGAAATGATATTTTTATTAAATAATAATTACTTTGAAAATTATACAAATTTAATAAAATCAAACATTTATTTAATCAAATAAACATTACATTTAATATAGAAAAATTTCTTCTAATATAAATGATACAAAAAAAAAAAAAAAAAAAAAAAAAACAACAACAACACAAAAGTAAATTCTATATTGATAGAAATTTAATTTTCCGAATTAGTATATTCTTCCCACAAATGATCAATAATGCATTTCGAAAAGTATGGTGAGCTCTGTATCCTTGATTTGTCTATGTGAGAAGAAAATTTAAATCAAACATTTCATACTATGACAATTTCAACTTCGGGAGTTGGCGCTTCCATTTGATTTTAAATCGATACATCAACATTACGATCATCCTCGATTATTATGTTGTACATAATAATACACGCAGTCATTATATCATGTAATATATTTTTTTTTCTCAAAAACGTGTCGGTCCTCCCACAATTGCAAACCGCGATTGGAGAACTCTAAAGACGTTCCACATCTTTTCTACATCCTTATTGTTTTATTGCAAATAAATTATTTTTTTTGACCACGTGGATCGTGAATTATGTAATTATTATAAATATTAATATAAATAATAATTAAATTAATTTAAATACAAATAACAAAATTTAAATAAAAAAAAACTATTTGAACAGTGCCATGCCAAATTGGTGTGCATGAACGTGGCATGTAGATGGGCACCAAATTGGTGCAAAAATTGGCTCTGGGTTAGAGGTAAGTTTCACGCTATTTTGGAGATGCCCTTAAGTATATCATATCTATTTAAAGTTGTGTAATTATTCTTCAATAAATCCATAGTTAGAGTCTTGGTCTATTCCCACTACTTGGGAGTTTGTAGCTTCATGTTCTATATCATTCTTCGATAGACATTTTTTTTTCACAATTTCCCCCTTATGGTACAACTTTGCTATCAATCACTTTCAAGTATTTAACCTATAATAAATCTCTAATGCAACACTTCACTGCTTTGCTTAATAACATAAAGTTAATGACTTTTTTCCACCTAAATAATAGTTTAATGACACTTTTTCACTTATAGACTTTTAAAATATCACTTTATTACCACATTTATATTATAACGGCTAACAAAGAGCAAACTCGGTTCAGGTTGTTAGGGTTTTTGAAGAGGAGAGGTCAATAAGTCTTTTAGTAGTGAAAAGTTAGATTTTGGTGGTTGGGATTGATTGGAATTTGACTTGGGAAGGGTGGCTGTGTAAATCCTAGGGGTGTTCAAAAGAACCGGTTGGAACAGGAACTGGCGGGTGCCCAGGGTTTGGTTCTGGTTTCTTTCCAGAACCGACCGTCAACGGGTAGGTTCCGATTCCAAATTTTTGGAACCGTTATTTTACGGTTCTGGTTCCGATTCCTATACTTAGGAACCAGAACCAGAACCAGAACCAGAACCAGAACCAGGAATCAGGAATCAGGAATCAGAAATCAGGAATCAGGAATCAGGAATCAGGAATCAGGAACCGAGACTAATATAAAATAAAATTAAAGATTAGGGTGATTAATACAAACTTTTGTAGAAAAAGTAATGTGAATACATTTATATTTATATTTCATAACATTTAAAGTAAGTTGGTTTTATTTTTGAGAATCTACCTTTACAAAGTAATGGAGTTTGTAATTTTAAATTTATAATTTGTAATTTTATTTTTGTTAACAAGTGCCAGGGGAGGGGGGGTATTTGTAAGTTTTTAAGTATTTTTTTGTCATTTTAAAAACTTTTGGGGGGTCATGTAATTTTACAAGGTACCCAGAATCCGAATCCGAACCGTTGTTACAGATTCTGATTTTGGGTACCTAGGAACCAGAACCGTCGGTTTTGGTTCTGGTTCCAAATTTCAAGGAACCGTCGGTTCCAATTTTTTCAAAAAATACAGAGTACCCGGAACCGAACACCTCTAGTAAATCATAATCGCTCGATTGTTGACAAGAGTAAGGTTTGAGGGGTTTTGGTGAGTGATGATTGTGAAAAAAAATTGTGATGGTATGGGATAGCAACGATGTCGGAGTCGAAAATGAAATATAAATTTGGATAGTAAAATGATATTTTAAAAGTTTGTACGATTTTTGCTGCGCAAATTCATTTGTATTACAGCAAAATGTGATGGCCAAGTGGCAGAGTTAGTTGCTGCTAATGGCGAAGATGAAGATTTGCTGTCTGTCAATTGGTCTATTTGGCATGGGTGATGGTAGCTTTAGCATAAAATGTGTTCAGATAAGCATTTCCTCCTTTCAAGGGCTTATCTGGAGGGTCATGTGTATGTCACTGTCGTTTAACTGGAAGCCAAACTTACCGGCAATTTCGAAAAATGACCATCTGCTCGACAGCTCCACATATTTTTTTTCTTCCATTCATGTCTTTGTCCAAATCCAACTACAAATATATTGACACGTGGCCAATATTAATGCTAAAAATCGCTATTTTTCAAAGATTTCTTTTAGGATACGGTGTCATCCACAAACACATCCATCTTTCTTGGATTTTATTTGCCTTCATTTTGACGATTCTAATTATTCACGATTCCATTAATTTAGCTTTACACTTTGCAATATAACTGGCCTGGAAACGATCTGGTCATTTTCAGCTGTTATCTTAGTTATATCAAACCATATAAATATTGTATCTTTTTATATTGTGTGATTATATTCCTATATTATTAATTTCAAATATATACTTTTTGTTATACGATCTCTTAACATACACAATGTTTGGAACTATCATTGTAGCATTTTCTTACTATAGATATTAGTAAGAGGGGAATGAAATAAATCTTTATTAATTCTGCCTAGAAGGGAAAAGGAATATATATGGAACCCGTTTCATGTTTTCTTTCGCTACAAGTTGAAGCTGTAGTTTTCCTGGTTTAAAATAGAAACAGAATTTGTCTAATGGAAGGTGATGGAACCAAAGCATACGTGTGCCGTCTTGATTGTTCCAGAAAACGAAGCCATGGCCACTTTTAAATGGGCTGATTATGAAAAAGGAAGTCTTGCTAAGATGTCTTATTCATGGCATCCAATGCAAAGCTCACAAATATATAAGATAAATACTTGGTGCTTATCAGATTTGTGTGCGTCTTAGTTCTTACTGTCGAATTGAACCAACAAAAAATCTGTTTTAGCTAAATCGGGAAAGACCCAAAAGATTACTAGAAGATTATAGAAGAATGAAAAAGAGCGAGAATATATGAATGACATATAAGTGTAAGCTAACAGAGCAATTAAGAAACTATTTCTGGGTGGTGGTTCGATACGGATTCTTATTTGTATTATCAAAGATACCGTGAGTTCTTATATCTCCTCAATTATGAATAAGGGTAATCATTGAAACTCTCACTTGATCAATAATTTTAGCGTCCCAAAGGATTAGTTGAGATATTATCTCAATCAATTTCCTTAAATGTTAATTATCATTAATCAATGGTCGTGAAATCATGTTACAAAATTATTAGACTGTGTTTGGTAGAGTATTTAGAATTGTATTTTTGAAAAAGTGAAGTTGAGTTATTATTATAAGAATAAGATTTGAATTAAAAAATGTGTTCGGTAAATTTTTGGAAAATATTTTTTGAAAATATTTAACGTCGTTGACGACCAGATCTAGCCATCAAACTACCAAATCTAGCTCGTCGTGCGCTATTATGATAAATTCTAGCCGCCTTTCGACTGTGGTGACAGGCTGTCGAGAATATATGGGTGGGTGAAAGTGATTTTGTCACTTTATAAACTTTAATCGTTGAAGGTGTTTAGTTAAATTAACAAACATAGATAATTAAAAAAATCTAAATATTTTGAGTTTAATAAAATAGAGTTTGAGTTTAAGAATATTGAAACAAATATATATATTTTGAATATGATTAGATTGGACAGGATTTTGAATAATGTAACAAACACAGTCTTAGTATTTTAGTACGATTAATGTCCCTTATTGGGCTTGAGCCCATCTTTATAAAAGGCCTCTGACCCACCATTCTCCAATATTGAGTCCATTCAAATATTGATAAGAAAGAAGTCTGTCATGGCACATTTTGACCACTGGATTACTTAATCAAAACGGGTATATTATACTAACCTTCAGATTGCGCTTGCAATGAACAGGAGGGTCTTAGTTGTTTGCCACATGATTAGTTCTGAGACTCGCAACACAAAATGCCAGCCTTTTCTTTCCTTTAAAACGTGAATAATGAGATCTGCTGTTGGCAAGAAGCCAAGAACAGCTCGTATTTTGACATTTACCTAGTGTCCTCCCTCAACTTTTTTTTTTTATTTTTTTTTTATGGAGTGTTCGGATTTGTTTGTACGTCAGGACTCTGAAGTTGACGACCAAATAAGTCACTCAACTTGTGAAGACTCGAATTCAATAAAGTTTATAAAACTTCATTTTGTTCTTTTACTATCAAACTTGTTAGATAAGAAATCAACCCCATAGAAAATTTCAACACCGTAGAAAATTTAATTATATTCGTGATAAAGACTGCAAGATAATTACCCTTGTCAATTAAGCAATTAAAAGAAGGATGAATTTACTAAATTGATTGGAGAAAATGAAATATAAATCAGTAAACTAAACAAGCTTTTCTGGAAGCTGACCCCCCCAGCCCACCCATTGATTATCATATGTCAATTATAATTTAATCAATCTGCCTGCGACAAAGTCAATTTACTTTAATATAATCCAAAAAAAAAATAAAAAAAATTTGGTGCAGGTGAGTCTGTTTGCATTATAAGATTCTTGAGAGAATGTTAATGAGCAGCAAATCTTGGAGCCTGAACTCATTTGACAATATTTAATTATTCAATGAATATTTAAATATGTTTTTAATTCATATACAAATTTACTGATAAGTCTGATACACTGGAAAGGATCCTTTAAAAAGTATTTGACATGGTCTTGAGCTTCCGTGATTCTCTGCCACAAGTTTATTTCAAAAATTCCAAGGCCCAAGCAACCAAAAATGAAAAATCCCAATCACAGTGTGTAAATGTCTGTCTATTTTCTTCAATCCTCAAGGCGAGTCCTGCCTTTCGTCAACACCAAACACATCACTGCTTTTTCAAAAACCAGCTAGCATACAATACAAAGCCTTACCTACAGTATTTGTTATTCAAATTACAGAAAGTCCAATATGTTACCGTCTAACTCACTCCTTGTGTTAACCATACATCTCACTTTCCTGTCCATTTTCCAGGAAAATTGTTGGTAATTGTGTAGGTTATTACTTCCCTCCAAACTATTCCTTTTATGGGAAACTAAAGAATCTTAGTTTTTTTTTTTTTTTTTTTTCCTCTCTCTATATATATTTTCTTATCGTTTTCTCTGCCGAGAAAACAAAAAGCCAAAAAAGAGACAAGTTTGTTGTTTGTCTTCTTGTTTATTGTAAGTCACGGTCCAAGTTTCTTAAATCTTAATTGGATTTGTAATCATGTCATATTCCTGGTTTTGTTTGTCAAACAAGAAAAATGTGGGAAATTCATTCAAACCTCAATGTTCACAAACAAAAAGAAACTCAATATAGAATCTTATACATGTCAAAACTTTTTTTTTATACACTTACTTTTAATGTTTTGAGTTGTTTCTGTTGTCGGTTTCGAAGATTTGTTTTTTTGATCTTATAGTAGAAGAGGTCATTGTTATGTTATTGTCTTAAGTGTTTGTTGTGAACTGAGGTTGTTCATACTCGTTACAGAATTTGATCCGTTTTAAGATTTTGGGTCGTCATTTTTTATGCGTTAAAATGGCTGAAGCATCCAAGATTCGGCTAGTTCGTTGCCCAAAGTGTGGGAATTTGCTTCCAGAGTACTCGGACTACTCTGTATATGAGTGTGGAGGATGTGGTACTGTTCTTAGAGGTAAGTGTTTCTCTATTTCTTACCATTAACGTTTATTTTTCGTAGTTTTCTTTGCTTTGTTTGTTTGGCTGAGAAATCAAAGGAAAATGGAAGAAAATTTACTATAGTTTTGACATCTGTCTGTTCCATGCTTTGTTCTTTTCGATTTGGACTGATGTCTCCAACATGTTGTGAAGTTTTGCTTTTGTTTATTGTTCTTTCTTTGGTTTCTAAGAAAAGCCAACCAGCCAATTGGGCTTATGTGTGAACTTAAGTTGTTGTGTTGATGATGCAGCGAAGAAGAAAGTGTTGGCAAGTGATGGATTGTGGGAGAGATCTGATAGGGAAAAGAATGTAGAGAGTGACGCAAATCTTGAAACTGTGTCACAAAAAGCGAGTGGTAGTTTAGGCAATTCCTCCGAGACTGAGAAGGAGGGTGATGGGGTTGAGGTCAGTAGGAGAAAAGATAAAATTTTGGTAGAAGGAAATGTTAATTCAGTTAGTGTTTCTTCTTCAAGAACAGAAGACAAAGAGGTCTTAATTGTTAATGAGGAAATCGATGCTGGGGAAGATAAAAATGGTTTGAGACTCAATCAAAGTAATCCTGAGATAGAAATTGAGAATGTTGATATACCCGTTCAGTCTCCGAAGCACCCAGTTGACGTTTTGGTTGGTGGAGATGATCAGGATTTGAACTTGAATAGGTCTAATTTTGTTAATTCTAGTGTGGTAAAAGGAATTGGAGAAGTTTCAGCCAAATCCAAAAATTCTGCAGAGCTCATGAATTCAAGGGTGGTAGTGGACAAATCAGGTGTAGAAAGAGTGGGGTTTTGGGGTTTTGATGAAGATGCCAGAGAAGTTTCAGTTCAATCCAAAATTTTTGCTGATGCAGGACCTTCAAACTACAAGCCTAATTCAGCCCATAGGTATGGTAAACCAATGAAGAACTTTGGGTACCAGGATAGGCCTAATATAGTTGAAAACTTAGAACCGAACCAACCTGAAATTCTTAGGAAGTTGAATGAGTTGAAGGAACAAATCAGTAGATTAGAGGATAAACCAAAAGAAACAATTCTAGATGACAAGAAAATGGCTCCTCCTGAGTCTAATTGTAGGCGTGCTGCTCTTAATGTTTCAACTCAACCATTTGCCAGGGGTAACCATGTCCCAAGACCGCCTAATTTCAGACATAGCCGTGGACCTGCTCCTTTTATGAATGATCATGACTTGGATTTGCATAACTTCTATGCTCCTCCGAGGCATGCCCCAACTATGATCCCAGGGTCCAACTATGAGAATTATTTTCAGTCACAAATGCTCCGGTGGCCGCCCAATCAAACATCCCTCCAATACCCGCAACAACTACCTCCTGACTACATTTCAGGGCGGTACATGGATTTCAATCATGATGTTCTCGTATCCCATTCACAGGAACCATTTTTTCATCAGCCTGCATGCTCATGTTTACACTGCTGCAACGAAAATTGGCAAGTTCCTCCAAAAGCCACTGGCTCTAGTTTTAGCAATAGAAGGTTTGTAAAGGACCAAAGGAGATCCAATTCCTACCATCATATCAGATCTGTTACACTTGGTCCAAGGAATTATGATCCTCTAGGTGCCAATCCTCCTCCATTGCACTCTCAAGATCCTCAGTCCCACACAAGATGGCCAGCTGACATTGATTCAGATGTTGAAGGTTTTTATCACAGTCGTCCAAGAAGAGTGGTGGCAGCCCATGGGAATAGGCGGCTTTCTCGTCCCATAGCAGGTGGTGCTCCATTTATAACATGCTCTAATTGTTTAGAGCTGCTAAAATTGCCAAGGAAAGTCATGAAAATGGCAAATAATATGCAGAAAATACAATGTGGTTGTTGCTCAACTATCTACTCAAGTGAAAAGAAGAACAAGAGTCTCATAATTTCTGTTGCTACCAAAACTGAGCGGATATCTGGCAAAGCTGATGATGGTCCTTGTGGCCTATTTAACAGAAACATAATTTCTTATGGTTACTCAAATGCTGATGGCATGAACTCCTGCTCTGTTGATTTTGATAATGCTGGTTCTTATTTTCACTCTGCTGATACCAAACAGAATTTCCAATCAGGAGGCCCAATGTTGAACTTGGGTGAATCTGAGAAACTGCAAGGCTGTTCATCTTCATCTTCTATTTCTACTGAGGAAGCGAAGAGCCCAGATAGTGTAATTGTCCACAGAGATGTTTCCAATTCTTATGAGCTGCCTTCCAAAGAGAACATCTCGCCAACAATTGCGGGTTCAAATTTCAGTGATCATCTTGATGATTTCTTTTCTATCCGTTCAGTGAGCAATACTGGGAGGGGAAACAGGAGTAAACGGTTAGATCAAGAGAAAGTTATCCTTAACAATGTTTCCTGCCAACATTCTGGTGAGAACGATGCAGCAATGGAAACTAAGGTGCAAGTATCTTTCAACGAATATGTGTCTCATGACTCTGATGTAAGCAGAGAAGAAGACCAACCCAGAAACAAGAAGGGGCAAAAAACCTTCTTGATAGGTCTTATCAAGAAAAGCTTTAGAGATTTCTCAAGATCTAATCAAAACAGTGGGAATGAAAGACCTAATGTTTCAGTTAATGGGCAGCTTATACCAAATCGTTTGGTTAAGAAAGCTGAAAAGCTTGCTGGTCCGATTGAACCTGGAGATTACTGGTGAGTTTATTGGGTCACATAATGTTTTTAATTCCTTAAATATATTTTTCAGTGTGCTTAACTTTATTAGTATATATCTTCAGTGTAAGGTGAATACACAGTGCAATTAGGAGTGAATTACTTCTTTACTCAAAAATGAAGCATGTGTATATTCAAAATTGGTTGTCTAATTAAGGCATAATCAGAAGATTTATGATCATTCTGAGTAACTGCGTTTATGATGCTGTCAAAGAATGTATGTGTGATATTCTCTTAGTTTTCTTTTGATTAAATTATATGGTTGTTCTTATAATTCCTATCTGCATTCATTAGGTATGATTTTCGAGTTGGTTTCTGGGGTGTGGTGGGCCAACCTTGCTCGGGCATACTTATTGTGAGATCAATTGAATTCTTGGTTTATAATTTTTTATTTAGTAACAATGTCACGTCTATATATGCATAAATGTTCCTGTTGTTCTGCAGCCATTTATCGAAGAATTCGATTACCCCATGCCAGAAAATTGTGCTGCTGGAAACACAGGTGTATTTGTAAATGGTAGAGAGCTTCATCAGACAGATTTGGACCTACTTGCTAGCAGAGGACTACCAATTACGAGAGATAAGAGTTACATTGTTGAGTTTTCTGGGAGAGTTGTGGATGAGGACTCTGGTAAAGAATTAGATAACCTTGGCAAACTCGCTCCAACGTAAGTCTTGCGATCATTAACAAGTGATTATAATATGCCCTTGAAACTTTGTTAGGAAGTATGCAACAAAATCTTACGAGTACTGAATCTATGAAAAACATATCAACATTTTAGGTTCCCAGTTTTTAGAAAATCATATATTAGCGTAATTAGATAAATCCAATTAGCCAGCTGACTTACAGTTCAGTAATTTTCATTTCGTTTTGAGTAATATTCTAGTGACCGCATATTTTCATGGATAGATATGCGTTAGGTTGTAAAATTTACTTTCAAAACCACCATACTTGTTTTCTCACTGATAAGTTGTTTAACGTTGGCACTTGTGAACAGAGTTGAGAAGATAAAGCGTGGATTCGGCATGCGTGTTCCCAAAGTGACCTTGTAATTCAGCTATACAAAGCTTTTGTAGCGTCTGTTTCTTGTAATAATGTAAACAATGGGGCAATTCCCCTGCACATTATCAGTATGTACTATGTCCATATCTTTCGTTTCATGTATTTGTAACCGAAAAAGCTCAATGAGTAGTATACATGCTTGTTTATAGATTTGTGGATACTTGTGATCGATGTTATCTCCAGACAATACTTACCTTTCGGATCCATTTTGTGCTTGCCTAAATTTGATATGAGAATGGCAGATTGGTACTAGTTAATTTGTGTTGATTGTTTAATTCCGTGGTGACAACTCAACTAAGTAGCCTGAACTTGCACAATAGACATTGACTTGAATTCTTTAATCGAAGTTAAAAATGGTGAGAGCCAGAGAGGAACTGTGGCTTGAGACTCTAATTACTGAAATACAGTGACAAGGAAACAAACATGAGGTTGGTGGCTCATCTTACATCACTAAAATAAATAACCAGATAATAGGACAAACAAAGTCTTACCATATTGCATTTAAAAAACATAAACATGAGAAAGAACTTGAAAGAAAGCTATTAGAAACAAAATAGAACAAGAGATTGATTGTTTGAGTAGGTCAACATTCTCATTTCTCAATACAGTTATTTGATTGCTGCATTTTTTTTTTTCTGTGGGAAGACAAGGGGTCAATTTCGAAAGGGTGATTGATTCTTTGTTGTGCTATCGCAGTTCTATAAAGGGGAAGTTTTGTAGATTGTGTCATTATCAGCCAACTACGCAAAAGTTGACAGGAAAATTCACAATCTTGGCGCAAATTTAGATTTGTGTTTGTTTGCAAAGAGTTGTAATTTATCAGTAGTATTAGTTTAATGTATGTTAACCCCTAGTCCTGTAGTCCGACAATAAGATTTTAACTATCTGGATAGGTTATCTAGAGTCCACAAAGTGATTATCGATCAAAATTGTGACCGATCTAATCCATTGAATTGGTAGGGTATGTAATAGACCTCAGTATTATTGGGTTACACAGACGCATTCAGGGGTCCTGCTGACCGCTGTAGCCGGTTTGAGCTTTTTCCATGTATAGCCGTTATAAGATTTCTTTAAGTTATTAATTCCTTATTGGGTTGGGCTTAGAAATAGAAATCCTTGTAAAACTAGGTTTTGTCACTTAAACCTAGTATATAAACATATTTTTCTCTTGTTATGAGTGTGATAGCAAATCATAGGACAATTCATTCATTTATTGTAAACGAGAGATGCGAGAAAATATTGCAATAATATTGACTCGGCTAGACGTAACCCATATTGGATGAACCAAAGTAAATCGCATGTGTTATTTTCTCTGTGTTTATTATTTGTGATTTGCTTTATTGTTGTTTTGTTCTCGTTGCTGTCTCTATTTCGTGACCTATCTAACCCATTGAATTTGTAGGGTATTCAATAGACCTTGGATATTAGTTGAGGTACGCAAAAACTGGCTCAAAGAGCCAGATTGTTGGAGTTATCAACTACTTCAGCATTATTGGGTTATATAGATGCATTCAGGGGTCCCGTTGTAGGCTGTTTGGGCATTTTCCATGTATAGCCGTTGTAAGATTTCTTTAAGTTATTAATTCCTTATTGGGTTGGGTTTAGGAATAAGAATCCTTGTAAAATTAGGTTTTGTCACTTAAACATATTTTTCTCTTGTTATGAGTGTGATAGTAAATCATAGGACAATTCATTCATTGTAAACGAGAGAGGCGAGGAAATATTGCAACAATATTGACTCGTAACCCATATTGGATGAATTAAAATAAATCGCGCGTGTTATTTTCTCTGTGTCTATTATCCCTCCCCCCACCCCCTAAAAAAGTTTGATACATAGTTACATACTAACTGTTATATTATTTGATATGCTACGTAATCATTATAATTATTAATTACTACTTTAATTGATATAAAAATGGGTAAATCTACGTTAATTAACCTATGATTATGAAAATGATTAACCAATCAAGAGCACACCTGTCGGCATACCAAAACCAATAAAATAAACAAACTAAAACTTAAAAAGAAAAAAAAAAAGGTGAAACACTACATCGATGGCCGAACAGAGACAGATTTAACACTCGCCTTCTTGCAAGAAGCAGACACTCACATTTATTGGAAGAATTCAATGTCAGTCACTTTGATCTACTTTTGTCAATTTTTTCTACAGTTTTGTATGCAAATACCAAGATTTAATTCAGTGCCCAGATTCAGTAAGTTATAGTGTGAGCCCAATTTAGTTTCAAAAACTTGCTTTAAGTGGGATAGATTGATTTAGAGAAGAGAAAGAGTTTGTTGAATCACTGGAAAATGAAGTTGAATTGGAAGCTATGTCCGTCTGTTAACAAATACAACCAGCTGCTTTTAAAATTAGCGGTTGCCATTCTCCTGATGGGTCTAGCTTTTAGGTTTTTATTTTTTAGCTCCCAAGAGTTTTCATCGCCTGATCTAGAGACCACGCCCGTTGTTGCTAAAACTGATGTGGCAGAAGCAACACCACCCGATAATTTTACTATTGATGTTTCAGAATATGAAGATCAGAATCTGGAGCCTGAAAAAGGTAACTATATTGGCTTCTTTGAATTGGGATTTTGTTTTTATTTCAATATAGCGTGCATGATAACAATTAATGAGCTGTCTCTTTTGTTGATGTTTCAATGCTTCAGAGCCGGATGATGAGAATGATACGCCTCAAAAAGAGAATGATACGCCTCAAAAAGGTAATGAATTAATCAAATTTGGTTTGTTGGGGTTGGGTTTTTGATATTTTTACATTTTTATATTCTGCTTTATTGTAGTATTGCAATGCTCCAGGTCATTAACTCAGCTGGGAGTGATACTACTATTATGATATCTCCAAACCAATAATTATTTTGTGATTGTAATTCTGATAATTGGGATGGGTTTCTCTGTTTATTTGTTTTAAACGTGATACTCATGAAGATTGGTAGTTGTGCAAATTTTTGTGATATGGCATTTTGTATTTATCCATTGCCATTTATTCTTATTTAGTGGCCCTTCTGCTTGGTACTAGAATCTTTTATTTTTGTTTAGTTTTTTGAGACTTATACGCATGTTGTGAGTTTCTGATTTGATTGAAGTGATTGGTGGTTGTTACCAGATAGCGGAGAAGAAAAGTGTGATATTTTCACTGGGGATTGGATTCCGGACCAATCAGGACCTGTTTATACCAATGCGAGCTGTGCCTTCATTGAGGGTCACCAGAATTGTATGAGAAATGGGAGGCCTGATACAGGGTATCTATATTGGCGGTGGAAGCCACGAAACTGCCAGTTGCCCCAGTTTAATGCAGAGAAACTTCTCAGCATGATGAGGAATAAAACATGGGCTTTGATTGGTGATTCAATTTCTCGTAATCATGTGCAGTCATTGCTGTGTATGCTCTCAACGGTACGTGGCAGATATAAGATTGTTTTAGCAAATTTGAATGTTGGCTTTGGATGGTTGAACAAGAGCCAAGCTTGGCTTTTTTCCTTCCATTGCTTAGTACTTTATGATGGAATTAATTCTTTACTTAGATGAGCTATTAAATTTGTGATGCCTAAATGTTTATTTCTCTAATCCAACATAGAGCACATTTATATAATTGTGATGTGAATGACCTGTTTAATGGTTTTTCCCTATTGTGATCTTCATGAAAGTTTTGTAATGGAGTTGTTGAGATACCCCAATATAGCAAAGAGCTTCTGGAAAAGCCCTTATGTATTAATATTATTGGTATTAGGAGACTCTGTTCTTTCAATGTCTTTTCACCACGTAAGCTATCATAAAGAATTTCTTCAACTGTTATGTTTTTCAGTTTTAACGAGTTGCTGTTGATTCCACCATATAATTTGATGTTGTATGATTGATCTTCAGTTGTTCCAAATTCCTATTTATCTTTTGAATGAGCATAAATAAAAGTGTATAATAAAGTAAGTAGTTGATCTGGTGCTATCTAGCCAGTGTTTGGGCGTGTGCCATTGTTAGCTCAGGTGTGTCACCATGTTTTAATCTGCATATTTGTCCATAATATCTTATTGTAAAACCTTGCTAGTCTCCAGTTTGTCCTGCTTTGTGATTGAAACAAGTAAATATAGGGGTTCATTGACTGATTGTTCAATTTGTAATGAAATGATACATTGCTTTGTCAATACGGAAGGTCTATGATATTGTTCATGCTAACTTCACAAATGATATTGACCCAAGTGATGTTGCGATTGTATAATGAATAATATAACTTGTCAGTTAATGTCTTTGAGACTTAGTTGTTTTCCCTGGTGAGTTGTGCAACTTGAATTAATGTTGATTGTTGTTGGTTTTGATTAATTATGCTCTCTTGCGGTGATTGGATAATATTTTGATTACACTCTTAACGACCATGTCCCAAGTTTATTACTTTTACCTATAAAGAAAACTTACTAGGTTGAACTCTTATCATCTTCAGGTTGAAAAAGCTGTTGAAGTTTATCATGATGAGGAATTCAAATCTAAAACATGGCAGTTCCCCTCTTACAACTTCTCCTTGTTAGTGGTCTGGTCCCCCTTCCTTGCTAAAGCTGCAATTTTTGAAGACATTAACGGTGTTTCAACATCTGAGGTTGAGCTTCATCTAGACAAGCTTGATAAAAAATGGACTGAACAGTACTTTAACATCGACTACATGATAATTTCGACTGGGAAATGGTTTCTCAAGTCTGCAATCTACTATGAGAATGATACAGTGGTGGGCTGCCATTACTGCCCTAAAAGGAACCTGACAGAGTTGGGGTTTGATTATGCTTATAATAAAACCCTCTATCATGTTATGGATTTCATAGCAACTTCCAAACACAAAGGGTTGGTTTTTTTCAGGACAAGCACACCGGATCACTTTGAAAATGGGGAATGGCATAATGGGGGTACTTGTAAGAAAACATCGCCAGTTAACGAAGGTGAGATTGAAATAAAGGACTTGCACAGGATTCTGCGCAACATCGAATTAGCAGCATTTCAGGATACAGCTGCAAAAGCAGTTGAAAATGGGGTAAAATTCAAACTTCTCGACTTCACTAATCTTTTGTTACTGAGGCCTGATGGACACCCAGGTCCATACCGAAGTTTTCATCCATTTGCTGAGGATAAAAATGCTACCGTTCAGAATGATTGCTTGCATTGGTGCTTACCTGGACCATTAGATGCTTGGAATGATTTGATTATGGAGATGATGGTTAATACATTAGAAAATTAACTGGAATTTAGATGATTGGAATCTGCCTTCTTCATTTGAAAGAAGCATTAACCTTAAGAACGTTAATGATGTCCGGTGATGAAAAGCATATGGATGATGAATTTTTTTTTTTTGTTTTTCTCTTCACTATTTTTGTATGTATAAATGCCATGTCATCTGTACCGAGATTAGTTGAATTCTGTGAGTAGAAATAGTTGATTTTAATTCTTGAAATTTATTCTTCATAGTACATTTTCTGGGAACATAATAGCTATTGAATTGAACATTATTTTATTTATTTATTTATTTATTATTTTTTGACATATCGGGAGTTCAATGATTCGTAGCCCATTTATGGTAATAAAAGGAAAAAAAAAAAAAAATGACGGTAGGACTGGAAACCAGCAACGGTCATTTCTTTTTAAATTTTAACCGGATTTCAAAAGTCTATTAAATCTTAAGAATTCATTTGAAATTTGAAAATTCTGACCGTTGCAGAGTCTTGGCTCCCCTGCTATATATAAAGCAAGCCTTCTTCTTTGATGATGAAACCTATTCAAATCGTTTAAGCTTCTATTTCGTTTTTCTTTCTGCAAATCTGAAGCCATGGCTAGTGTTGCTACTGCTCCTATGGCCACCGACAACGTCCCTAAGAAAGCAAGAAACAACAGTAGAAAAGCTTTGAAACAGAAAAATCCTTCCACTAATGAAGCCAACATCATCGCACAAACCCTCTCTCAATCTACGATGCCGGTCCCATCCCCAGAGACTGACCCTTCAAAGGAGAACCATGAGAGCCTTTCTCAGCCTCGCTCTGAGCCCAAAAAAGCAGCTGCCAAGGGAAGAGCAAAGAAGACAACAAAAAATCAAGATTCTTTTGAGAAAGATTTGCAAGATTTGCAAGAAATGCTTGAGAAGATGAAAATAGAAAAGGAGAAGACCGAGGAACTGTTGAAGGAGAAGGATGAGATGCTGAAGATGAAGGACGAGGAGCTTGATGTGAAGGAAAAAGAGCAGGAGAAGCTTCAGATGGAGTTGAAGAAATTGCAGAAAATGAAGGAGTTCAAGCCCAACATGGTATGTTTCTTGGTTTCCTTTTCTCTCTGTTTGTTTGCCAACAAAAAGGTTATATTTGAGGGTGAATAGATTTTACTGTTTTGACTGATGATTAACCTGATTTATGTCTGGTGTCCTTTTAATTTATGGTTCATTTATTTTCTGTTTAGGGTTCAAGAAATTGGTAAAAAATGGGGGAGTAACTGGTGATTTGGTTAGGGTTTGACTAATTTGGAGAGCGAATTGCTCTTATCTGTAATGTCTATGTAGAGCTTAAGTTAAACTAATCTTTGGAACCTCGAATATGTGATGTAATTGAAGCTGTCTTGACTGGTTCTTTTAGGTTATTCAAAGGTTTAATTCTGAAAACTGTTTCTTCAGGTTTTTCCTATTATAAACAAGGAACAAGACAAGAAGGACAAGAAGAAGGGATGTCCTGAAAAGAAAAGGCCATCTCCTCCTTACATTCTGTGGTGCAAAGATCAATGGAAAGAGGTGAAGAAAGAGAACCCAGAGGCGGAATTTAAAGAGATCTCAAACATTTTGGGAGCCAAATGGAAGAATGTTAGTGCAGAAGAGAAGAAGCCTTATGAGGAGATATATCAGGCCGAGAAGGAAGCCTATCTGCAGGTAATGGCCAAGGGGAAGCGTGAAAGTGAAGCAATGAAGCTCTTAGAGGAGGACCAGAAACAGAAAACAGCTATGGAGCTGCTTGATCAGTATCTTCAGTTCAAACAGGAAGCAGAAAAGGAGAACAAGAAGACAAAGTAAATATCCCCCGCTCCCTCTCAGTCTATCTGTAGTATACCCTTACATTTCTAATTTTTATTTCTTTTTGGAATTGTTTGTTTGAAGGAAAGAGAAGGATCCATTAAAACCAAAGCATCCTATGACTGCATTTTTCCTCTTCACAAATGAGAGGAGGGCAGCTCTTCTAGCTGAGAACAAGAATGTTTTGGAGGTGGCTAAGATAACCGGCGAAGAATGGAAGAACATGACTGAAAAAGAAAGAGGGCCTTATGAGGAGGTTCGCTTCATAGGCACATAAAAACAATTCTTTGGTTCTTTCTTAACAAAGCTCTGCTTTTTAGCCTGATATTTTGTGTTCTTTTGAAACTAACAGTTGGCAAAGAAGAACAAGGAGAAATATGCTCAAGAAATGGAGGCCTACAAACAAGTGAAGGATGAGGAAGCTAACAATCTCAAAAAGGAAGAGGAGGAGCTGATGAAACTTCATAAACAGGAAGCCTTACAAATGCTTAAGAAGAAAGAGAAAACTGAAAACATAATAAAGGTTTGTCATTGCGTTATTACAAACTGTAATTGATTATTCTCGTTTCTGTAATTTCATTGCAGCTAACCGATTACTATACTCATTATGTTCAGAAAACCAAAGAGAAGCGCCAAAAGAAGAAGCAGAACACTGATCCTAACAAGCCTAAGAAGCCTGCTTCCTCATTCCTTTTGTTCAGGTAAATGTTCAGCAGTAAGTTTTTCTAAGTTACTTAATGCTGTATTATGGGAGCATTGCTTAGTTGTGCTTTTGTGTTGATGCAGCAAAGAAGCAAGGCAAGCTTTGTTGCAAGAGCGGCCAGGGACTAACAACTCTACCGTTAACGCACTGATTGCAGTGAAATGGAAGGTATAATTTTGTATACCCCTCTTAGGTAGAGCAGTTTGTATTGAATTATCTCCTATATTGTTTTTGACATGCTTTTTTTTTTTTTTGGGTGACAGGAACTCAATGAAGAAGAGAAGCAAGTGTGGAATGCTAAGGCAGCTGTGGCAATGGAAGCATACAAGAAGGAATTGGAAGAGTACAACAAGTCTGTTGTTGCAGCCATGGATGACAAAGCACAGCAATGAAAAGCTTTTTTTAAAAAAAGAAATAAAACTATGTTAATTTTCAATCAACTGTTCACACACTTGTGGTAGGAGCTGGCCATCAGTTTGATGGCATAGGCTAGTGTCTATTGCTATCTAACTTTGTATTTGATTGCTTTTTGAATGGATTAACTTTGCGATGAAATTTGGGCGACCAAAAATTCTAGTATTATTGGCAGGATGTGCACCAATTTTAAAGCAACTAATGTTGTCGGGTTTGTTTGTTTAAATATTTTTAACTATCCTATTTATACTATTTTCAAAATACCAGTTTGTTTTTGTTTTCTTATTCTGAAAATACTATTATATTTTCTTCAATTATATTTTAAACCCCTTAAGTTTATTAATTTTTAAACTAAACACCCTCAGAAAAAAAAAAAAGTTTAGAAATTGACAAAACATCCTCAGAAATTTTTTTTTTAGAAATTGCAAAACACCCTCGCACATTTGCCAAATTCTGACCACCATCGTCAGAAGGTGGCCAGAATTTGGTATGATGGCGCACTACTGCTGACTGGATATGGCTGGTAGTGCACTGATTTATTATTTTTTGGCCAGATCCACGATCAAAGATCTGACTATTGACGGCCAAAGATCTTTGGCCGTTGTTACAACGACCATATCTTTGGCCGTTGTTACAACGACCATATCTTTGGCCAGTCGGAAAAGGCTAGATCCACAGCAAAAGATTTGACCATTGACGGCCAGATCTTTGGCCGGTGTTGACCATCAACGACGACCATATCTTTGGCCGTCTGGTCGGCGTACGACCAGCCAGATCCAGTTGACCGTGTGCCGATATGGTGACTTCGGCCACCCTCTGGCGGTAGTGCACTGATCTATCATTTTTCAGCCAGACTTCGGCCACCCTCCGATGGTAGTGCACCAATCTATCATTTTTCGGCCAGATCCATGGCTAAAGATTTGACCATTTGACGGCCAGATCTTTGGTCGTTGTTGACCATCAACGACGACCATATCTTTGACCATTGTTGACGACCAAACATGATCAGATCTGATCGTAGATCTTGCTTTTTTCGGCCAGATCCAGGGTAGATTTGGTTGAAAAATGCCATTTCAGCACACAATCGGCCAGATCCAGGGTAGATTTGGTTGAAAAATGCCATTTCAGTGCACGATCAGCCAGATCCAACTGATCGTGTGCTGATACGATGACTTCGGCCACCCTCCGACGGTGGCGGCCGACTGATAGAATAATGGGTGGGTGGGGGTGTTTTTATAATTTTTAATGTTTTTATTATAGGGGTGTTCAGTTATTTAACGAACCTAGGAAAATATTTTAATAATTTTTAAATCTTACCTCGTTATTTCCACCCAACTCTAAAAATATAAAAAATACTATCCAAAATATTAAAACAAAGACACCCATTACTTTGTATTTGATTGCTTTTTGAATGGAATTTGAGCCACAAAAAATTCTAGTAATATTGGCAGGATGTGCACCAACTTTTGTCACTTCCTAAAATTCTAATTCAATACACTCTTATCATTTCAGTTAGATGCGCATCCTAAACACGGCACGCTATTTTCTCAAAATTTCGTGTGAGCAACGCCCACAATATGCAACAAAACAAAAAGTTAGTGAACTGGAAGGGACAGAAGGAATCAAAATATATCCGAAATCAAGCAAAAAGAAAGTAATCTCAAGATTTTTCTTGACTTAGTTATTGACAGAACTAATTTTTCTTAACAAAGGAGAATTTGATTCCCTCTCTTATTCTATTCTGTTTGCGCATTTATAGGGCTCCCCACCGCCACCGTATCATATCAATGATTATTTCATTAGTAAAGAGGATCAATCCAACAATCACATCAAAAAGGATATTAAGGTAAAACCAATATCTTTCTCAAGTCTTTTATGATCCTTTTGGTTTCTCATACTCATCGTTCTCCTCTGTTTCTCCAAAGCCGATCCTGTAAAACTGTTGCATTCTATTATTATCTCAGCTCTAATCCAATAACCTAAGACAAACTAATGTGTTCGTTATTATATATATAGTCTCAGTGAGCCACATGCAAAGCAGGCGAGCGGCTAGCTAAGCTATTGGTGCTGCGCTTCGCCGACGGCTCCAAGAAGCTTCTTGTTAATTCTCTCCTTGTTATGTATTGAAAAAAAATACATATACATCCTTGAACAATGGTACATCCTCCTCACGCGGAGCCCTTCCCCGGGTCCGGCCGAGACGCAGACGCCGGTGCCGTTTTTGTTCTCGAGGCAAAAGGTCAACTCTCTGACAATTTCTTAAAAAATACTCTTCGTCGTTTTCGGCTTATAAAAATAAGTGCTCTGTTTTTAATTTTAAAATAGGGGAGTGGTGGCACGCGGGGTTTCATCTGACTACGGCGATAGTGGGACCGACAATATTGACGTTACCGTATGTGTTCAGGGGGCTTGGATGGGGCCTGGGGTTTATGTGTTTGACGGCGATGGGGTTGGTGACGTTTTACTCTTACTATCTGATGTCAAAGGTGCTAGACCACTGTGAGAAAGCTGGTCGTCGCCACATCAGATTCCGCGAGCTGGCTGCCGACGTTTTAGGTATCTCTCTCGACTTTATCGTTATTGTTGTCAAACCATACTACTGCGCCTGCTTTTGGAAATAGCGAAACGTTTTATGTGTCTGCAAATGTTTATTATGGTTGGTGGTCGTTTTTTTCAAAAAAAAAAAAAAAAAAAAAAAAAGAACTGGGCCAGAGTGTAGTTTCCGGAATTTATGAAGCTTAATTACTTAAAGCTGACTAGTCAATTTTACTATTGAAAAAATGCACAGTAAATACGGGTACTCGTTGAAGGAATATTATGAGATGATTATGCTTTTGACACGTGCCAAGATGTCAGGACCCAATGGACTGCATCAATTTATCTTTATTCATTAAAAAGGAGGAGAGAACGAGTTACACATAATCAAGGTTTATCGAAACGAGGATTGGTACTTAAAAAGTTTTAAAATAACAAATAGGTATCTTTTGTCATGTTCTATTAATAATTTTTATTAGATAATAGTAAAAAGACTAAAATACCCTTAAACGTTTAATATTTTAGTTTTTTATAAATTTAAAAATTTCTAAAAAATCCCCCAGGTTTGCTAATTTGACTAAAAACCCAAATATATAAAAATTTTATAAAATAACAAAAACACTCCCGTCACCTGTAGTGCCAGATTTCGACCACCACCGCCGGAATCTGGCCGAAAAAATTGCGTTATGACACAGACCCATCGGATTTGTGTCGTGACGCGTAGATCTGGCATGGTCACGAATCTGGCCAAAAAATGCCAGGTCGATGCGTTACGACACAGATCCGACAGGTCTGTGTCATAACACAATTTTTCGGCCAGATTCCGACGGTGGTGGCCGGAATCTGGCACTGCGGGTGGTGGGGGTGTTTTTGTTATTTTATAAAATTTTTATATATTGGGATTTTTAGTCAAATTAGCAAACCTAGGGGGTTTTTTAGAAATTTTTAAATTTATAAAAAACTAAAATATTAAACTTTCAAGGGCATTTTAGTCTTTTCACTATTATCTAACGAAAATTACTGGCAGAACATGACAAAAGGTACCTATTTATCGTTTTAAAACTTTTTAGATACCAACTTGTTGTTTTGGTAAACCTTGTTCGGCCTAAATAAGAGAGATATTGTAATTAAGTTCACCAAACTAGTGGACAATTTGCTGCACACGGTGTAACTAAGCTGGCGCCTCCTTTGCCCTGGTGTGTTGTCTTGCAGGATCTGGATGGATGTTTTATTTCGTGATACTTATTCAAACAGCCATCAATACTGGAGTTGGAATAGGAGCAATTTTGCTTGCATCGGAGTGCCTCCAGGTATTTCTAATTCATGGATAGAAGTACAAATTCGATAATGAATAACAAAATATGGAATACGTATAAAATCTAGAATAGGTATCTCATAAAGATGAATAATGTGACCACCCATTTGTGGCTGGATGGATAGAGGGGTGCATGGTTGAATTGAGTTTGAGTTCTACCTAAAAAAAATGAATAATGTGATAAAAAATATATCATATATAAACATTTGTATATGTATAGCATTAATATAAGATTTATATGAAATGTGAACAGTTTAAGTTGTTGCTTAATTTGATAGGAGATGAGTGGGTCCAATGTAGCCATATTTCTCAAAAGATAATGATACATTTTCGTATTGTCAATTCTTTCAACTACCTCTAAGAAGACTAGAGGTCCCATTCAGTTCTATTTTTGTTTTGGACCTTTGGTTCGATGATATATGACCTTTGCTTTACGAAACTGCTTTTAAGAATGCACATTGGACACGCAAGAGTTTGCTAACAATATTGTGTACAATATTAGCATATCAAAATACAATGTTTTAATCTTTTGGTGCTTATCCATCTTTGTTTCTTTGTTAATTTTGCCTTTTGGGCTGTGACTAGATAATGTACTCGGACCTTTCCCCCAATGGGACTTTGAAACTGTACGAGTTCGTAGCAATGGTGACAATTGTTATGATAGTACTCTCTCAGCTTCCCACTTTCCACTCACTCAGACACATCAACCTTGCTTCTCTTCTTCTAAGCTTGGGCTATTCCTTCCTCGTAGTTGGTGCTTGTATTAAAGCAGGTATAGAAATCATTGACCAGTATTTCATTCCGTATTTTATGTATGTATCTTTTCATGTTATGAAGAAAGTTCTGTTAATAAATGCAACATTTTTACTTTACTCATTATTACAGAATTAATTTGGCAATGAAATTTGCGTATAAAACAATGGAAAAGAAAATGATCAGTGGACTTTAATTAGGTGAAATGCGTCCAAAATTCTTGTTGTGGGTGCATGGAACAAGAATCAATATATAAAATCCCAATTGGGTGGTTTATTTGGCTGATGTTCTAAATATGTTTCTAAATTTTACGTGTCCAACAGGTTTCTCCAAAAATGCTCCGTCAAAGGACTATTCCCTGGAATCTTCAAAGTCATCTAGGCTTTTTAGTGCCTTCACTTCCATCTCCATAATAGCTGCCATTTTTGGAAATGGCATACTACCAGAAATACAGGTAACTTCACGGAATATCTATTTTGGTTTTCTTTTTAATGCCTAGCAATGATGATAGGGTACACCAGACTATGACAAATTGATTTAACTGCACAGAAGAGCCATGCAAGCAATGTTTGCTAATTGCTGTAAGCTTCTTGATTTTAACTTCGGCATTCTATCAATACAGGCAACTCTGGCTCCACCCGCTACTGGGAAGATGCTAAAAGGTCTTCTAATGTGCTTTAGTGTCATTTTTGTTACTTTCTATTCGGCTGCAGCTTCTGGGTATTGGGCGTTTGTTAACAAAGCTGATTCAAACATTCTCAAGAGCCTGCTGCCTGATATTGGACCTTTCTACGCTCCAACATTGGTTGTTGGTCTCGCAGTTTTGTTTGTTCTTCTTCAATTATTTGCCATTGGCTTGGTAAGCTCACAGATATACTGTGCAATCAAACTTTAGAGAGGCTGAATTCCATTTTCTGGTTAACTGAGGTAATCTTTCTACAATGTGAGCAGGTTTATTCTCAAGTAGCTTTTGAGATCATGGAGAAGAAATCAGCTGATGTAAAACAAGGGATGTTTTCAAAAAGAAACCTTATCCCTAGGATCATTCTTCGGACGTTGTACATGATATTCTGTGGATTTATGGCAGCAATGCTTCCATTTTTTGGAGACATTAATGGAGTGGTAGGAGCAATTGGATTTATCCCCCTAGACTTCATCCTGCCAATGCTTCTTTACAACATGAGCTTTAAACCTCCCAAATCATCCCTTATCTACTGGATCAATATTACTATCATGGTTGTTTTCACAGGTGCAGGATTGATGGGTACATTCTCCTCTGTAAGGAAGTTGATTCTCGATGCTAACAAGTTTAAGCTCTTTAGTAGTGATGTTGTGGACTGAACATAAATGAAAATCTCTGAGCGTACGAGTATCCTCAGAGAAAGTTTACCTTTGTTGTGAATCAAAACTACACGTTTTGATTAGTGCAATTAAGAATGAGAAACTGCAGACTAACAATTTTTAATTATTAATAACAAGAATTTTCAGTTGCAAGATCCACTTCTAAGCTGGCTGCACTGATATTGTCTAATATGTTTGTCTTCCAAATTGGTCGATTTCTTATACTATTAATCTGGTGTCTTACCAAATTCTTATACTATGCATATTGAGACTCTCCATAAAATGTATTCTTAAAAATGTTTCATGTTCAACCTGCTGCCAATACTGATGTAAAGATTGCAAATGATGTACTGTCTTTCTTCTTCAGAGAATCCACCATGCTTGATGTTAGGCCTCTGGTAATTTAACCATCTCATTCTGCAACTCTTTCCACATCTCTTGAGCCCTGTGGATTAAATTACGCATACCAAGAGATCAAATATACAAAAAGATCCACAAGAAGTCAACAAATTAATTCATACCATATTCTTCAATATAAGCCTTGAGTTTTGCATGCTCTTCAGGTGACCAAGGTCTCCCAAATCAAGCAAAAAGAAAGCTCTCAATGTTCTTTTTGATTTAGTTATTGACAGCAACTAATTTCCTAACAAATGTGAACTTGATTCTCTCTTATCTATATTCTGTTTCCGCATTTATAGGACTCTCCACCGGCACCATTTCAAACTATGCACAAACTGAAATCGTGTGAACACATCTATGTTATATTTATTTTTATTTTGTTACATCTTATATATTGATAAAGAGGCTCAGTCCAACAATCACATCCAAAGGGTAATGAGGTAATCTCACTTCACAAAATGATACTTCCAAATCCAAAATCTTTCTCAAGTCATTCAAGTATCTTTTCGGTTTCATATACTCATCATTCCTTTCCCACTGTTTTTCCAAAGCCAATCCTACATAACTGTTGCATTACATTCTATTTTATCTCAGCTCAAATCCAGTAACAAAGACAAAAGAACGTGTTCATTGTTATACATACTCTAGTGAACAACATTCAAAGCGGCTAGCGGCTACCTATTGTGGCTGCGCTTCAACGGCTCCAAGAGGTCCTTCCTAGGGTTGTCAGCCTAGTTGAGCAGCTCGCAAGCTGGCTCAACTGGGCTCAACAAAGGCTTGACTTGTCTAATGACTAGTCGAGTTGACTCGACTTGTGATAGTAATTGAGCTAGGTTCGATCAATATTCGATTTGGCTCAATAGGCTCGCGAGCCAAAGCTAGTTTGCAAACAAAGGATTGTTTTAGATACTTTTAGAAACTATAGGGAATTAAAACGGCATTTTAATATATTTGTAAAAATAACAAATCAACCCATTCTTAAAATTGATAAAACACGATATTCATTGCCATAAATCCCTAAACCCCTAGGGTGCGTTTGATTCAGAGAATGTTAGATTACTAAGAATGTTGGATTATTGGAATCTTATATTACCTTGAAGATTACTGGAAATCTTTAAGAAAATGTGTTTGGTTAGTTGGAATGGTAGGTATGTTATATTAATATGTTTGGTTAGGAGGAATAAATTGGTGGGTATATTATTTAAATTACTAAATTGCCCTCTTTTTAAATATTAATATAATATTATTTTATTACTAATTTTTAAATAGTTTCTTTTAACCCCCAATATTTCAAATTTAGCTAAAACACCCCACTTATATAAAACTTTAATTTATAACAAACTCCCCCCCACCACCTTGCTGTCGCCACTGCAAACCATCTCCGAAAGTCGCCGTGAGCAGCCCATTGTGACCGAGAGGCGCCGATATGGTCGTTTTTGGCCATATTGATGGCCGAAAAGGCCATATCGGAAGCATATCTTGCTGGAAATGGCCAGATTGCTCACGATGACTCCAGGTGACTTCCGACGACTTCCCGCGACGGTTGACGGTGGTTTGGCTGGCGGTAGCAAGTGGGTGGGGGTGGTGACTTGGGTAAGCTAAAATTTGTTTTGATTTCAAGGGCAATTTTGTCCAAAAAATTGATTAATTGGGGTGAAATAATAAAAACAAGATTCATGTAAATAAATTTAAAAATAAGGGCATTATTGTCCTAAAATTTTATTAATAAGGGATAGAATTGTAATAAAAAAAAAGATTACTCAAGTAATCTTATAATACCTAAGAAAATGGAGGTAATCGAATTACCTCCAATATTATCAACAGTAGCCATTATTGGTATTTGAAGATTACCGGAATCTTATATTACTTGACAAACCAAACATGGTAATCAAGTAATATAAGATGACTTAACCTCAGTAATCCCACATAACCCCCAACCAAACGCCCCCAAAAGAGTAAAAGATTTTTTTCCACCCAAATAATGGTCTAATGACATTTTCCAACTCATAGACTTTTAAAATACAATTTTGATACACATAACATAATTCTATTAAGTAAATTTCCTTCTGAAAAAGGGTAGGACGGTCAAAAATTCATTATAAATAAGCGTAAGACGGTCAATTAAAAAAGGACACCTGATTCTGATGTCATCGGCAGAACAAAATTTGTTTGTCGTCGGCTGTAGGAAAACGGCCAAAAAAATTCAATCACCGGAAAACAAAACTTCAAACCAATTGGTATAATAGCAGCCATGTTTTTTTTTTTTTTTTTTTTTTTTTTTTTTAAACTGCAAAGATCGTCATTTTTTAGTGAACCGAAAACAACCTCATCCATCGCACTTTTCATTTTTTGAGCTTTCATTCTTTCGTATAATAGCGAACGTGTTTGGCGTTAAAAATCAACATTGAGATCATCATCAACAACCCCATCACTTGCTCTTCAAAATCCATCCACGCATCGAACACCCCTGCTCGCCGATTACCACTTGCAGCGCCGTGGTTTTTGTTTTGTGTTTTTTTTTTTTTTGGATTTTCTTGTTGTGGTTTGTTTTTTTGATGTTGATGGAGCAGTCTAGAGTTTGTTTTGAAGTTTAGGTGTTGTTTGGTTGTTTATTTGGAGTGCTCTTGTGTTTATTCTGGTTGGATTAACCATACTGGTCACCGATGTTCACCCCCCAATGCAGCCCTACACACCACCTATTTGTTAAAAATCCCCACACAGTTAACTTTTCTCTGTCGCAAAGAAGGCAGTTGTGTTGGGAGGAGGGGAGATTAAAAAGAAGAAGATGGGATGATTATGGGTGTAAGGGTGGGTGTGGGTGAGGGTGAAATGGGTTTTGGTGGGGGATGCCGTTGAGTTGAATAGTGGTGACGGGGTCAATTTCTAGTGCCGGAATTGACCAGAATTTAGGCTATGAAACTTTGATTTGCAATGGCCGTCGACTGAGGGTTTACCATCGATGGGGTATTTTCATCTTTACAATACATTTGGGTAATTTGGGTAGCAAAAGTGGCATTTTAAAAGTGGTGGAAAAGTGTCATTAGACCTTTATTTGGGTGGGGAAAAGTCGTTTACTCAATCCCTAAAATGCAAAAATCACCAATTCCATAACTTCTCTTGTCCCTAAATCGCAAGCCAAAACGGCTTGACTAGAGAGGCGGGAGGCAGAGAGTGTAGGCCTTGTTGGGTGGGAGCTTGAAGTCGCCGTGAGTGAGAAGTGGATTGCTGGTGCTCGGCTGGATCCTTAGCCACATGGGGTGTGTGCATTTGTTGTATAGAGTAAGTACAATGGCTGAAACTCAAAGTATTAAACAAAAAATGGAAAAAAAAAAATAACCACATTTGAATAAACACACACACCCACAAGAGAGAGAGAGAGAGAGAAAGAAAGTAGAAAGTACCTTGTATGCATGAGAAAACGAGAGTAAAGAGTGTGAAAGTGAGGAGAGATGTTCGTATTGCCGTCATGGGGGTTCAGAATTGAGAAAGAGAGAAAAGACTCAAAGAGGCTTATTTTTTCAATGTAATGGGGGGAGAGAACTAAGAAAGAGATAAAAGAATGATGAAATATGATGACAAAGTTCTTAATTCTCGAGTGTGTCAGAGGCGTGAGTGAGTAAGTGGGGAATAGGCTGTCTGCATCTGAGAAAACATGTTTTTTTGAGCTCGCATTCAAGGTCATTTAAACCCCATCACTAATCCAGTTCGAGCCAAGCCAAAAAATAGAAGGCTCGAGTGGCTCAACCTAAACTCGAACTTGCCCTTTCTATAATCAAGTCGAGCTTGTTTAACCAAAAACTCGGCTCGGCTCGATTACAGCCCTAGTCCTTCCTTTTTTAAGAATTAAAAAAAAAAAAATACATATATGTCGTTAAACAATAACACATCCTCCTCACAAACGCTTCTTTGTGTCCGGTCGAGAAGCAAACGACAGTGCCATTTTTGTTCTTGAGTCAAAAGGTCAACTCTCGAAGATTGGTTTAAATTGTGAGATTTGACTTAATTATTTCATAAATATCTTTTATGAGATCACTAGTGTGTTTTGAGTATTTTCAAGCCATAAATGGTTAAAAGGAATATTCAGATGAAGAAAAACGATGGTGATGAAGATCGTGATGACGGCGAACGAACGGTACATAAATCGGATTTGAAACGAAAAAGTTAGCGCGTTTCAAGTAAGCTTGAGCGAGGAACATGTGTCAATACTTTGACGATATCTTGAGTTGTAGATCTGGGATTTGGATGATTCTTGTTCCATTGGAGAGTTGATTTAGAGGGCTACAATTTGTTTGTTATTGACTTCATCAGATTCTGAAGAGATTGTGCTCGCTTTTGGAAATCTCCTTTCGCATAAACAAAGATTTTTGTCACCACGGTGGTCATGTTTTGGGTCGGCGAGCACGAAATATTATTGAGTGTTCGTTGCGGCATAGAAAATCTTCACTACGACGAAGGCTGGATTCTTGGTCCTACTTGGATTGTATTAAGCTTTTATCCGAATTTTCTTATTTTATTTTGAATAGAACCCTAGTACTATACATAGAGGTCTTTAGATATTTGTAAAGGGGAAAAGAGAGAGAAGACTAGCCGCTATTTGGAGATTGAAACAACAATTCTTGGGGTTTTGGTTCTCCAATTAAACAGGAAATTGTAAGGAAGAAAAAGAGAGAGTTTGAAATGAAATGAATTTTGTCTTGTGTATTTAATGACTGATTTATTTCATTATATATAGCCTATAAGAGATCAATTAAATCCCCCAAGATACGTAGGGAATCAATCAATCCCCCCAATCA